AGCTCAGTTGACAGAACACCTGTCTAGCATACATGAAACCCTAGGTTTAAGTTTCTCACTATGTACCGGGGTGTAGTGATACATACTGGCAAGCCCAGTGTTTGGAAGGTAGAGACATAAGGATCAGAAGTTCAAAGTCATCCTCAGCTACATAAGAAGTCTGAGGCTAGCCTAGAATATGTGTGTCTCTGTCTCAAAACCAAGCAACAGAAAGCAATAAGTACATATTTTTACCTTATTGTTTTCTTAAACTTATTAATATTGAATGTATATGGTACAAGAGTGCCAAGACATGTTTGTGGAGGTCAGAGGATGGACTTCAGACATCTGTTCTTTCCTTCCACTGTGGGTGCCATGGGTAGAACTCAGTTTGTCTTGCTCACACAGAGCACATTCATTTATTTGCTAAGCCATCTCACTGGCCAGTTTGCTCTACTTTAAACCTGAGCTCCTCTGTAGCATCAGATTTACTCAGTGATAGTCAAGTTGATATCCTACCTGATTACAGATGCGGAAAATCCTGTCAATTAGAAACACTTTGGCTTTGATTAATCCTAATCAAGGAAATGGCATTTAAATTTATCTAAAATGAAATGCAAATCATCTGAGATGAATGGGGCCATCTGGACGACCTAAAGTCACCTTTATGCAGGTGAATCCAATTTGGATTTGCTTTCTTGAATTAAAAATCAAATACTCTTATTTTCTCTGTAGCATTTAACATTACTTTATATAAATATTATTTGTTTGTTTACTTGTTCATTTCTTCGTTCTCCTAACTAGAAAATTAACTCCAATGACTTCTGGGATCTTAACTGCTTTGCTCAGCATTGCATTCCTAGTACTTATAACAGCTCCCAATATATACACTTTCAGTAATGTCTACAAATAATGAACTCTTGAAAAATTAGAAATCATAAATACCAAGTCTTTCAAAATGTATGACTGCCCAAAGATTGATGTTCATAGTAATAAAAGGGAAGAGTTGGTGATAAGTGAAACTAGAAATCATTTGACTAGGAAAAGGCAATCACAGGACATTTAAATTGCCAATCAATGCCTAGACAGTTCCCAAATCTGTCTCTTTCACTGATGATTAATTCTGAAATAATTTTGGTTGCTGTTCTTGTTTCATTTCACTTTTGACAACAAAACAAAAGGTTCCTTAAGAAAATAACAGTATCTCCATACTGTCCAAACTACAATCTTATAGAGTTTCATTAGAATTCCTTTTTTTCTTCCAATGGAGATACCTAAGAAAGGATGATATATAATAAGAACAAAGTCTTGTTTCTGGGTCCTTATTAGGTAAGGAGAACAAGCTTCAAAGTAGGAAACATGCAGCTATAAAAAACCAACTGGAAGGTTGCAAAATCAAACCTGCCATGTACATGCTGGTATTTTCACCTGGTTCTTTTTTTCCACTGAGGACAAGACAGACAGACAGACTGCTGATAAATGATAGATAGATAGATAGATAGATAGATAGATAGATAGATAGATAGATAGATACATACATACATACATATCTACACACACATAGACAAACTCTAGCAGGAAAGAAAATGTCACATGAATTTTTCCATCATTGATAAGCAACCAATTTTAGAGAGAAATATTCAAGTGAGAGGAGAAAATTTCTGATTTGATAATGCCCAGTATGGTTAGTATTTTAAATGACAACATTATTATAAAATACAGCTGAGAAGTGTTTGTAATTTTTAGGGTTTTTTTTTGGCATTTAATACTGGAATTTATAATATTATAAAGATAGTTATAATAGCAAAGCAAAATTAATAATAATATCAATTACTAACATTCAAGCAACTCAAAATTAACTATAATTTTCTTCAGTCCTTACATTGATCTCGTTACAGAGTATGTTAATCAGCTTTTCATCACTATAAGAAAATTACTGAGGACTAGAGAGATGGCTCAGGGGTTAAGAGTGCTGCCTTCTCTTCCAGAGGTCCTGAGTTCAATTTCTAGAAACCACATGTTGGCTCACAACCATCTATGATGAGATCTGGTGCCCTATTCTGGCATACATGCATACATACATGCAAAACACTGTATATCTGAAAAATAAATCTTTAAAAAAATTACTGAGATAATAAACTGTTGTGGAATATTTTTTTTTTTTGTACACTTTGAAGATGTGTCACTTAGATTGGTTTAATAAAAAGCCGAATGGCCAATAGCTAGGCAGGATTTTGGGGGTAGAAAGGATGCTGGAAAGAAGAAAACAGAGTTGCCAGCAAACACAGAGGGAACAGACATTCAAGAAAAGAGGAAAAAGCCGTGAGTTGTGTGGCAACTTGAGAATAAATAAAAATGGACTAACAAGTTGTAAGAGCTAGTTAGAAAGAAGTCTAAGGAATAAGAAGTCTCTGTGTTGTATCGTTTATTTGGGAGTGGCTGGCAGAACAGAGAAAAACTAGTAATAAAATGGCATACAATGCCTGGGCATATATTTCCACACAAGACCTGAGAAAGCTGTAAAAAAAAGTTTCTAAACACAATTCCACAGTCTCTCCTGAGGGCAGTGGTACAAAGACATCTCTCAGCCACTGCTTGCGGGCTTGCACTGACAGGACACCATGAGTTAAGCTTAAGCTGTTCAGCAGTTTAAGGTTTTGCTCATGCAGACAGAAAAGGTTACAGATAAGAAGTAAAGAAGAGTCATATGGAAAACCCCCCTAGAGAGGTTACAGTATGTTTAACAATGTGCATAGTTTTAAAAAGAAAAGAGCATAAATAATCATAAAAATAGTTTAAAATAATAGAGTAATATAGTGACATTTTATTTGTGTTTTAATAAATAAAGTTTGCCTGAAGATCAGAGTGCATAGCTAAGCCACTAAAGGCCAGTGGCAGCACACACCTTTAATCCCAAAACTCATGGCCACCCTGGGCTACATGAGATTGAATCTGTCTAAAAAGAGAAACAGAACTCACACAAAGGTGTTCCCAGCACTCAAAGCACTAGGGAGGTAGAGACAGGAGTGATACAGCTTGGCAGAGAGACGTATATAGGGCAGGAGGAGACAACAGCTCATTGAAGTCTGAGGTTTGGTGGAGAGCATTGCAGTCTACAGACATGCTGATGACAGGGTCGCCCCTTTGATTCTTAGTAGAGGTAAGAACTCTCTAGTGGTTTGGCTGCTTTGCTTATCTTCAGCTTGAACCCCAATATCCATCTCTGAGTTTTTATTAGTCACACTACAGAGTAAAGTCTTTAAAGAAAAAGTAAGGTAATAATAATAATAAAAGAATAAGCCACGTAGAGATGAGGGTGGGATAAAGTGAACTGGCAGAGAGAGGTCTGAGAGATGAAGAAGAGGCATGAGAGAAGTGTGAGAGAGTAGTGTGAGTGAATGGTGTGGAAGAAGGGTGTGAGTGTGAGAGACAGCTGTGTGAAAGGGCTCTGCTACACAGAGGAGCTGGTGCGTAGGAACTGTGTAAAGTGCTGTACAGTGACAGAGATGTAAATGAGATGTATAGCTGTGGTTGTGTGGAGATTTGTAACTGTAAAGGAAAGGAAGATGAAGCTATCTAGAAAAGAGATGTAGGAGAGGAATGTATGTAAAAGAAAGGTGTGTAGCCATGTGAAAATAGATGTAATTGTGTAAAGAGACATATGGCTATGTAGGAGACAGATGTATATATGTAAAGAGAGATACATGGTTGTGCGTAAAGAGTGTGGAGACAGAGATTTTCAGAGAGGATTTTTAAAAAATGAAGTAAAGGAGAAACTTTCCATCCCCCTATTTACCCCTCAGATAGAAAAGTCTAGCCCTTGCCATATTTGTGGATTTTTTTCAGTTAGCAATAGGTAATATTATATCCTTCTTGGGTCTTTGATGGAATTGAAGACTACATAATTATAGTTTTCTTTAGTTATGATAGAAGGTTAATTAGGTACAAAACTTTGGACTCACCAAGATAGGATTAATAATGGAATATTTTCTCTGAATTTGCCAAACACGAATGGACTGGATATTGTAAATATAATTCTTACTTGATAATTATTCTTATTGTATATAATGTCATTTGTTAAAGTTAATACCTTTCCTTTCTATTTAGATAATACATACCTGATAGTTGCTCTTACTATATGGCTTTATTATGTTAGAGTTAAAACTTTTCCTTTTTATTTAGACCATAAAGGGGAAACGTTGTGGAGTAATCTTTTTGTACACTTGTGAAGATGTGTCACTCAGATTTGTTTAATAAAAAGCTGAACAGCCAATAGCTAGGGAGGATTTTTGGGGTAGAGAGGATGCTCAGAAGAAGGCTGCAGAGTCACCAACAGATCCAGAGAGAACAGGCAGGCAAGAAAAGAGTTAAGTCACAAGTCATGTGGTAACACGTAGTTAAATAAAAATGGGTTAAATTATGAGAGCTAGTTAAAAACAAGTCTAAGCTATCTGTTGAGCTTTCAAAATTAATTTAAGAAGTCTCTGGTCATTTATTTGAGAGTTGGCTGGTAGGACAAAGAAAGACTAGCAACATAAACTTTATAAGAAAAAGATTGATTTTGCCACATAGTACCAGAGATTTCAGTCCATGGTCACTTGACGCTATTATCTTGAACCTGTGGTGGCACAAAACACTGTGGCAGGAAGATAAAGTGGAGAAGACCTATTCACGTCCTGCAAAGAAATTAGCCGAAAGAGACGGAGGGGACACAGTGCCTACATGCAGCTCACCAGCATATAGCCATTGCCACAGTTGCCTTGCAATAGGTCTCACCTGTTCCAGGCTGGGGACCAAGCCTTTAATATGTGTACCTCTGAAGGGAAGACAACAAGACCTTACAATACAAAGTCCTGTGACCACCATCTTACAGATTAGAGAACAGTTAATAGATTAACAGTTTCTACTGTTAAGAATTTGCTCAGAACTATGACAGAGTAAGAAGAAGAGTCAAATTCAAACCTAAGCAATTTAACAAACTGATACTCATAGTAACTTGTAGATTATAGACAAATCCTTACCAAAAAGTGATGAACACAGGGCAAAAGCACGATGTCTGCCAACGTGAAGTACAGGCCTTCTGCAAACACATGCTCCAGAGGCGGAAGGTCAGAGGTTTTTGCTTTCCTGATGTCAGAAGGCTCCCTGTTGGTAGCAGGTGTGTCTTGTACTGTGAGCTTTGAGAATGCCACTTTCAGTTCTAAACTCTTGGATGAGCCAGCCAACTCTTTGCATGGTTGCTGTGCACCAGCATTGCCCCTTGCTTTTCCCTTGCTAGATGGCGGCTTGACTCCAGCAGTCTTCTGTTGCTTCAGCTTCTGTCTGCGGAGTTTGTCATCATTGTGTACTCTGACAGGCTCACTGAGTTTTCTCTCGAGCTGTAGGATTTCTTCAGGGATAGCGGGGGGCTGGTCAGAAGACTCTTGGAGAAAATTCTCAACCGCCAAAGGGATGGTAAGTTCACATAGCCTGGTCCATTGACTAACCTATAAGAAAAACAAGACATGAGCCGTTCGCTCTTCTCCACATATCCAGAAGAAAATTAGCAGTTATTGGGAAATAAAAGTGGCTTGGAGCCAAAGAGATGGCTCAGCCATTCAAGGCTCGGCACACAACTAAAATATGAGAGGGGTTTAAATAATTTATGTGATTGGTTAAAGCATTCATGGGCTTGGCTTCTATGCTAGATCAGAATACATTACAATGATTTAAAAAATTGATACTTTAAATGATTCAGCTGTTGTATTCCTGTATCTTTTTATTAAGTAAGTCATTACTTCCCATGGTGGTTTGAATGAGAATAGGCTCATGTGTTTGAACAGTTGGTCCACAGTTTAGTACAGCTATTTGGAAAGGATTAGGAAGTTTTTTCCAAGACTGTGAAAGACTTTGGACTAAGAAAGCAGTTGAGTGCTGTAAGAAAGGCTAAACGGGCCATTCTAGTAGGAGCTTGGAAGACAATAGTGCTGAGAACAATACAGACTATGAAGGCCCCAGCTCAAAAGATTTCAGAGGGAAGCAATATTAACAACATGTCTAGAAACCATTCTTGTGGCTGCTTTTTGCCTGTCTCCTAAGAATCTGCTTGAGGCCAAGATCAAAAACACTGATGACAACTTATGTTGAGGAGGATGTGGGGTAAAGGGACCATTGCTGGTGGGAGTGCAAACTGGTACAGCCCCTTTGGATATCAGTAAGGCAATTTCTCAGAAAATTAGGAAACCACCTTCCTCAATACCCAGCAATACCACTTTTGGGTATATACCCAAAGGATGTTCAATCATACTACAAGGACATGTGCTCAACTATGTTCAGGACAGCATTGTTTGTCATAGCCAGAACCCCGAAACAACCTAAATGCCCCTCAATCAAAGAATGGATAAGGAAAATGTGGTACATTTACATAGCAGATAAAAATAATGGCATCTTGAAAATTAAAGGCAAATGGATGGATCCAGGAAACACCATACTGAGTGAGGTAAAGCAGACCCAGGAAGACAAATATCATATGTACTCACTCATAAGTGGTTTTTAGACATAAAGCAAAGAAAACCAGCCTACAAATCACAATCCCAGAGAACCTAGACAACAAAGAGGACCCTCAGAGAGACATACATGGATATAAATTCCATGTCATTGTATGTTGAAAGTACATAAATTGCTTTTTGATTTTAAATGTGGTTACAATTAAAAGATTGCCTAAAAGTGTCAGAAGAAACTTTGGACTTTGAAATAGTATTACCACTGTGAAAAATGTGGAACCTTTTAAAGTTGGAATAAATGCATTTTGCTTTATGATATGGCCAGAAGCCTTAGGGGGCTAAGAAGTAGAATGTGGTGACTTAAATTAGAATAAGCACATAGGCACATATATTTGAACACTTGATCCACTGTCTGGGAAGGCTTAGGAGGTGTGGCCTTGTTGGAGGAAATGTGGCTTTGCAGAACAGTTTCAGGATTTCAAAAGACTCATGTCATTCCCTGTAAGTTCTCTGCCTTGAAGGTGTATCTGAAAATGTGAGCCCTCGGCTACTGTTTCAGCACCACACTTGCTTGCTGCCATGCTCTCTGTCATGATGGTCATGAACTCTAACCTTCTGAAACTGCAATCTCCAAATAAACTCTTTCTTCTATAAGCTGCCTTGGGCGTAGCATCTTAACAAAACAGAAAAGAAACAAGGACACCCCAAAAGCCTTTAAAACTCTTCAGGGCTTAAAAGGCACTATGACTTGTGCTTTTACACACACACACACACACACACACACACACACACACACACATGGGGAGGGAGATTTTATATATATATACATATACACACACATATATATATATGAGAACCCCATGTTCATATAGATATATGAACATTTCCTTTAAAGAACACACACATACATATATACATACATATATACATATACATATATATACATATATATATATATATATATATATGAACATTTCTTTTAAAGGTTCTCAATATAACAAAGGCAGGACAGGGGAGATATTATTTTAAAACAATGTATCTAAACTTCATAAAATACACCCTAAATTTTTATTGTTTAGTATTGCCCTATAAGAATGACATAAGTAAAGAACTCTTTTAACTCTATGATAATTAAAAACAAGAAGTTAAAGTCATATTGGAGTGAATGTTACTACTTATAGCTATAAATAACAGAAGAAACCATACACTTACTTCTGCACAGGCTTTCAAACAAGTCTTTTTAAAACCCAGGAGTTCCAAAATTTCCTTTCGTGATGGCTCAGCTTCATAGGATTTCTGGATTATGTGTCTCAGGACAACAGCAAGTCCTGCTCTACAGAAAACGTCTGGTTGTTCTACCACCGCAGGCAAACAGCAATTCTGGACTATTGGTGGGAGGGCCTGCCTTGAAATAACCTGTATGTCCAGATCCTGGGACAGCACCTCTCTCAGGAGTGACGTGTCTGCATTTTCTTCAGAGAGGACTAAGCAAATAGTAAAGACCTTGCAGTCACAGTACAATAATAGAAACAGAGCTACAGAGGTATGAAGAGGAAAGATGCACCCTTCTGTTTGGTGAGAGTACTCCAGGTACAGAGATTCTTCTGTGGGGCTTTTCTTAATGCCTTTCATGTTCTGTTTTCATCGGGTTACCTGTAACAAAAATCAAAAGTTAGAGGCCTTCAAATATAACAAATTAGAAGCTAAAAGATTAGTGTTTTTCAAAAAATATAGTAAGAATTTGTATCTAAGAACTTTTACTTCAAAGATGAATGGCTTTCGAAAGGAAACTTTTCCCCAGTCTGCATAAGCATTTGTAGTGACGTATTTGTTCAATATGTTATTTTTAGTAATGGCTTTAAGATGCTTTGTAACGGGAAGCACTTAGTACTCTTTTACCACCTAGCCAGTCTCCTAGCCAGTCTTTTCTGGATCTCTGGGGTATAAATACAGAACTATTTCACACCCTTTGCACTTCTTCTAACTCACTCTCCCTCCACCTCTCTCCATCCCCCACATCAGCTTATTCTGTTAAAAATGAAGTTCTGCCACTCAGTTCAAATGCTGTAGTATCTTTCCATCCTGCTGAAATAACAGACCTTCTACAGTGCCCAACACAGATCGTGAGATGATCGTTTTATGTCTCTTGAGTTCATCTCATTTTTTTTCCACATTGCTTACTAAAGCAAATCAAGATTCTCCCAAACTGTCTACACTCCAACTTCAAGATCTTCATACTTGGTGTTTCCAGAACACAAAGCTCTGTTCCAGATATTTAGTAATAGGCAGCATCTTACTAAAATGTTCTTTAGCTACTTCTTATATTATAAACCCCCATCGACTTGGGCCCTTTACTTTGCCTTCTACGCTTTAATTCCTCCACAGCACTTAGCACCAGAAGACACTATTTATTCAACATGTTATGTTTCTATTAGACTATTAGCATATTCTGTAAGAGTACTTTGTTAGCTGTTATACGTAAAATAGAGCTTGCTAAACATTTGTATGTAACAGGTATTTGCTGAAGGAACGCATGTACGACTGTACACCTCTAGTGTTTTAAAGATATGTATATGGAGGTAAAATTTCGTTAAGGCTTCTTTCTGTCAATCATGACTCTTGGCTTTTGAATCCCTGGCCCAGATATAACCACATTGTAATCCATAAACCACAATTCAAAAATGGACACTAGATGGCACTCTTTAAAAATATTTAGAACTACCTAACCAGAAGAGGGTGTAGTAGAGAAAAAACAAATGTGTGTGCATGTGCACTGGGGGGTGCATTTGTAGAAAGGTACAAAAGAACCATGAAAAAGGCATTTTACATATATAAATTTGATTCACTGTGAGTACTTACTAATGTTAAATGTCAACAAAATAAAGTAGAAATACTTTCCCATGGTGAAATCATAAAAAATAATGAGCTGTCCAAGAGAAAATGCAAAGTAAAATCGATTTCTTAGTGTTTTCTTCAATACAAAATTAGTGGCTTTTGTTCTCCCCTACCTTGGAGATCAAAATGTTGGTTAATAATTGTGGAGTTTAAAAAAATTACGCTCCCTGGGCAATTTCTCCTCATTACACACTAGTATAACTGCTAAATATTAAACATTTAACAAACATGTACAAATTTGGTGGATGTTTTGGCTTGTACTGTTTTAAGGAGCAGAGCATAGTGTTGGCTTAAAGTTTATAAATATCAAAGAAATTCCCTTTCCCTTCTTTTTCTCCTTTGATAACTCCCTAGCTACATGACGAATTTTAAGACAGACCCTCAAGAGTCAATTTCAGGGTCCCCGAGGTGTCTAGAGCACAGCTTGCATTGCCCCTTATTAGATTTCTGTCAAGCACAGACCTGTCATTTGCTTTCTCAATCCTAGCATATGCCATACTGTAGTCACTGAGAGGAAGTGACCGTAGACAAAAACAAACTTCAGGAGCTGAACATATCCGACAGAATATGCATCTATCTCTTACGTCAACACGATTGGGAATTTGCACGAGGAATAAATAACTCATCACTTAGAAATATCTTCAAGGATATGTTAAAAATGGTTGTATTAAATCATAGATATTAGACGTAGACATTTTGCATTTTAATATATCTTAGCATTGACAAAATATCTAATATACTGCTAAAATTGGTAGAGCATGCCTTTAAGACAGAGGCAGCAGACCTCTGTGAGTTCAAAGCCAGCCTGGTCTACATACTGAGACCCAAGATAGTCGGGATCATGTAGAGAAAATCATATCTTACCAAAAAAAAAAGTTTAAAATTTTTTAAGACCTCACCCCATTTTATGTCCGTGTGTTTAAGGAATTCCTTATGTCTAAGGAATCAGGGAGTGAGGAAAAGGGGAAAGAGAAAATGAAGAAAAAAAACATTAAAAATAAACATACTTCATCAGTCAGAATTTTAAAAGTCAATTGGAATGTTTTGTGTTCAAAATTCAAGTCAAGATCTTTGGCAACTCAATATTACATAATAAATTACGCTCTGTATGACAGACCAAAAATCATGTTACGCAGCAAGATATTAGTGTCTTGTGTATTTTTTTTTCATTAAAAGTATTAGCTAGGTATGGTGGTTCATACCTTTAATCCCAGCACTCAGGAGGCAGAGGCAGAAAGATCTCTATGAGTTCAAGGCCAGTCTGGTCTATGTAGTCAATCCCAGGACAGCCAGGGCTACAGAGAGACCCTGTTTCAAAATATCAACGATTCATGGCTCAAATTCTAATTACACAGGAGGATCACAAGTTTGAAGCCACTTTGGACTACATGGTGAATTCAAATCTAGTTTGGGAAACTTAGGAAGGCCCTGTGTCAAAATCAAAAAATAAGGCTAATATGTATGTAGCTCAGTGGAAGAGCACTGGCCTAGTACACATAATCTCCAATGCCAGGAAGAGCAACAGCAAAGCCTGCCTAATACCGTGAACACTTACTCTATTACACTGAATAAACCGGATTATTTTATGCTGTGTCTCCCTTTCACTTTAAGTCACAGCTGCTGACCGGTTCCATGACCCACGACTACCAATACAGACGTCACATTTCAACAGCACCAGTCGATGTGATCTTTGAGTATTATCCGACTCCAACATTTATTTCAGGCACATCTTGCCTGAGTTCCAGGCTTTTTGGCATTTCAACTGGATCTTTTTCTAAATGTGTTCCTTTTCTTTAAGGGGGGGGCATTGTTGCTCAAACAGCAACACTATTCACCAACCTCAAAGAGGGAAGCCCCACACAAACTCCCTTATCTCTCACACCTAAACTATCTCTCACTAGTTCCTTAGCATTTCCTACTACCACTTGAACGGAGGTCACCACCAGCTCCTGCAGGATGTGATACATCTTACTTCCCACCCAAGTCTATTCTCCAACAATCATCCTTAAAAACATGTGCCCCGCACAAGGTTACCTAACATGTGCCCCGCACAAGGTTACCTAGAGTCCGTCAGCACACTTAGAATAAACGGTGTGGATCCATTGGGATCCCTGCTTGATTTTCTGACTTTATTTAATATCCTTTCTCTTTTCACCTATACTTCTCCCTGTTCTTCAGGGACGCCAGACCTCCTACTTGAGAATTTTTGTGTTTAGCTGTTCCTTTTCCCTTCCTCGTGTTGCTGATTTCTCTAGAACATATTATCTCAAGAAGCCTTTCCTTACCACGTGAACTGAAAACATACTCCCATCACTCCTTAGCTTGTTGTCCAGCATTCTTTTCCTTGTTAGTATGTCACATGACACCTTTAATGACTGATAATACTCAAGTTTTAGTTAATGGAATGAATAATAATGACAACTGAATACACAAATGATGGCCAACGAAAGTACAAGAATACTATTGAGGACCTCAGTCTGATACAACATTAGCCTCATTTATTGACACCATTTTCTCTTCTAACTTAATCTAGGCTAAGTGTAAATAAAAATTAAGAACTACATTCACCTACATGAGCTGACTCAGGATGAATGTAAGTGGAGTTCATCCAAACATGTGAACAAGGAAACAAAGACATAAATAACTGATATTCAGACAGAAAAACTAAGAACCTGTTTAACTACTAAGGAGTCTACACACATCTAATGATGAGTAGAAGCCCAGACTCTTAAACAAATAAACTGGGATTAAACACTGGCTCCGATTCTCAGGAGCTATACACTTTTCCTTCATCTCAGTTATGAAATGAGGGCCGTAGCAACATCTTCCTTACGCTGTTGCTATGGCAACAGACAATGGTCACATAGGAAGCCCCTAAGTAAATTCTAGCTACTTTATTTTGCTTTAGGCACTGCTACAGATCAAACCCGGGGCCTCCCACATGGTAGGTAAGCACTCTGCCACCGAGTCACACCTCAGCTCCTACTACCTATTAATAATTTAGTCACAAACTCTTTACCTAGTGATGCTACTAAAATGTAGAAATTTTAATGGAAAAAATCCAACTGATGCTTTTCATTTTCAAATTTCTTCCCAGGAAATGTGTGGATTGTGTTGAACTGAAAAGTGTTTTTCCATAAACATTGAAAATTTGGCACTAAGGATTAGACCCAAGGCGTCATAAAATGGTGGAATAGAAATGGAAAATTCTTAAGTTGATATACATATTAGAAGACTGCGTTAGACGGAATAAAGCTTGACAAAGTTAAGTATGAACATTTACATATTTCTCTCAAATACTGAAATGTTGATACCTGTTCAATGTTTCTCCACCAGAGAATGTTCAATATACTGACTGAAGAACTTATGTTTCAGAGTTCCCACAAAGCAGCACTATTTGTTACAAGCCCCACAGCACTCTATTACAATACAGATTTTTTTTTTTAAAAATGCCCCTTCACAGATAAATAGCCAACCACCTCTAACTAAAAATCAAAAAACAGAAAAGAGAAAAAGAGATGAAGCGTTTAGAGTTCATTACATCATGTAGGATGATAGTTCAGAGGCAATTAGCTCATGATTAAAATTAGCAATTTTCTTAGCAGGGCAAGACATTTTTATAAAATAAGAAATGTTTGGAAGTGAAATGCTTACTGAAATCTTAGTTACGGAAGAAGCATATAATCTCTCTGGAGAGTCAAAGAGGTGTCCGTTGCTATGGAGTCATAAATAAAGCTTGCAGCTAAATCTGACCTGTGGTTAACACAGATTGACGGCATGAAGTGTAAACATGCTGACAGCATCGGCAAGCCTGAAAAAAAAATACTGAATTATCTCAGCAAACAATACTTATTTTAGGATACAAAGCTTAAACTCCTGCAACCCAAGAAGTGACCATAGCAGAATCCAATAAGTTATTTTGAATTTAAGGATGAAAGCAATGCATACCAGGTAACTGTGAAAACTACAGTGTCACCTGGTTAGTCCCAGATGTGCTAATGTCTGTCCAATTATTAGTAGGACCAGCTGGCTTATTGTTGTTTGTGCTCATTTCAAATTGTGTCTTGCAGAAAGAAAAGCTAGAAGGCATAATAGGATTAAAACCACACTTCATAGGGCCACAACCACAAAGCTCCTTTTGGCTTTGTTTAAAGTAACACATGTATAGAAGTATCCTTTCCACTTTTCCCCTCCTTCTGTACACCACTACATCCTTTCTCCCCTCCCTTGAAAGCCCATCTCTCCACGGTCCCTTACTAAAGGTTTTTTTTTTCTTTTGTTTTTAATGACATAAAACAATGTTCAAACCTCAAATCTTATGAAGTTAGGCCTCGTAACATGAAGCCTTCAGGTGCAAATGAAATACAATTTCAAGTAATGCGAATACTGAAGGCAATCACTTTCGTAGTGTATGCTCCCACAAAGCAAAATCCCTCATAGAGCTTAATGTTTGGTCTAGTAAATATGACAGCAAATCAGTTGTTGTATTATAACAGTTTATTCTCGTGGCATTTCAGTGGCCATATTTATATGTTGCTAGTTTCTGTATTCTTTCCTCTAAACACCCTTTTTGTAGATACGCACAAGATAACTTGACAAACGCCACATATTCTTTAGCAATAATTTGGTAAGAGATACATTAGTCTCTTTCTTTCGTTTTGACCTTAAGGATTTGTGACAAGGAATCTGGGGGTGGATATAACGGGGATGGGGGGGGGGAGAGAAGGGGGCCATGTAATTCAACCAAGCAAAGTTGGGGCGGTATGTGTTTAAGTATTCATTATTTAAGCCAAAGCAATTTTCATGCAAGCTCATCTCAGATTTTCTGCTCAAGTTAATAATTGAAGAGAAACGCTTGCTTTGATGGGGATAGTATAAGCCAACGTCCCCAGCCAGATGCAGCAAATCCGTTGGAGTAACTGTGAAACAGTATCCACTACGGCGACCAATCAGGAAAGGCTGCAATGGAAGTCTTCTCTTTGGGAAAAGTTAAAAGTGTGCTCCAAGGGGTCTTTTCCCTGCACCTAACTGCAAACGACCACCCAAACCCCTACACCGCGAAGCTGCCCTGTTCCTTTACCCACGCAGGACGACCGGAGGGTTGACAGGCTGGCAGCAGAGGGACCCACGCGTCACTCGGGGGCGCGGCGCGAAGCCCTCCACCTGCACCTACGCTACCAGTCTGCGGCGCCTGCGGGGCTGGGAAGACTTTCCCGGGTCCCACCTCGCCCCCAGCCCCGCCGACCCCTGAGGGACAGCGCGGTCCTCGGGGCCTGGAGGGGCCGCGCAGCCGGAGCGCCCTCTTTACCTGGTCGCAGAGGCGCGGCCAGGCAGGGAGGGCGCGAGAGCGTGTGGGCGACGCGGGCCGCCGCGCCTTCCCGCCCAGCTCGAGCCGGGATCCCGAGGCTCCTTCTGGAAGCCGCGGCCTGAGGAGCACTCGCCTCCAGTGAGGCCCCGAGGGATGAGGGAAAACTAGAAATAACCAAGAAGCAAAAGTGTCTGGAAAGCTCCCCGCCCACCGCCATTCATAATCCGGCGGACCGGAAGAGGTGGCGCGTCACTTCCTGCTGTCTCCCCAGGAAACGTTCCCCTCCCGACCGGGTTGCGGGAACCTTTGTTTCTCGCTTCGGATGCCGGTAAGGGTGGGGACGGGTTCGAAAAGAGCTGCCGAGCACGGACAGAGTGGCGGGGCGGAGCGGTGAGTTGTGACGAGGGTTCCCCCCGCGTCCTGGCGCCGCGGGGACGCTCGAGAGCCCGCGAGGGGCGCCCGCAGCGGAGCTCCGTCGGGTGTGGGCTCCTCTCTGTTGGGGGGGTAAACCTCATAATTTGCGGGCAGTTGCGTGCGGCAGCCTAACCGCTCCCCCTGTTGGAAGGACTGTGTTCTCAGAGTGCTTTGCACTGAGGACGCGGCCCCTGGGGACTGGGTCCGTGGAACTCTCAAACCTTTGTCGAAGGGTTCCGGAGACCTCTCTGCAGCTCCCGGTTTACTTCTCATTTTCTGGTTCCCTTGTCAAGAACTCTTCCTTATACGAGGCCGCCCGTCTGTTTGGATTCCTTCAAAGGAGTCTCATTTCTAAGTGTCTTCTGTCTCTTTACAGATTCTTTAGCGCTTAGTTTGTTTTGGAATTGGGCTTTTAAATCTCCTGCTCTAAGTTTCCAGGTGTACCCTGGGGCCAGGTACTCAAGGGAAGGATGAAAAAGGGCAGCATCTTAAAAAAAAAAAAAAAAAAGTTTATTGGAAAGAATTGCAAAATCTTGCAGAGACAGGAATGGATGGGTTTTCAGTGTTGTAATGAGATGGTAATCCTAGTATTGCACTCTCGTGAATAGTCAGTTTCTTTTATCTCATGCACTAGCAAGTGATCAACTTTGAACTTTGAAACTAACAGGCAGGATGAAAGAGACCCAAAGGAAAGCAAAGATTTTGCTAGGGATGTTTAATTTTATTTGGGACCATCACAGAACCTTGAAAAATGGCGTGTTAGCAGAAATCTAGTTCATCCAATAAATATTTAAAAGCACCTGTTAAATTCTAATTGCTAGGGGAAAATAACCGCATCCCCCACCACTGCCCCCACCTACAAACATGAACACACCTGCATAAGAAGCTGTGTGCTACTGAGATTGAGGAATTAAAGGCAGATGAATGAAAGTGAATGTTAAAAAAAAAGAAAAAGAAAAAGAAAGTGAATGTTTCAGATCAGAACCCTTACATATGCCTTCTCATAAAACAGATGATTGTTTTGCCTTTTGAGGTTTGGTTTTCTTGGGAGGAAAAGACAGTTGAATTTCCTTAATGTTATTGGCTGAAGTGATTAGAATTGTGTAAAGTTAAAGAGAAGAACACTAGACTTTGCTCTGATGAGTTAACCAAATGATAGTCTAGCCATGGTTTAAAGAGGAACACAGAAATGAGGGAAACAAGGGATCCAGGCTTAAGAAAATCAGAAAAAATAACATATGGAATCATCTGCCTAGAGATATTAGTTGACAACAAAATGTGTATAATTGCTGAAGAACAGATTGGTAGCAAATCAAAAGCAGGGAAGCAAGGACATAGTTGGAGCAATAATAGGAACAGCAGGAGTGAGATGAGCCAAGGAAAGGATAGAAAGAGAAAAAGATTTAAAAGTTAAATATAAACGATGCAAAGAAAATTTTATAAAATACAAAGTACCTTTACTGTATTTACTTGGTCTTAAAATAAGGAATGTTGCTGTGTTGCTGGGCAGTGGTGGTGTACTCTCTTAATCCCAGCACTCGGGAGGCAGAGGCAGGCTGATCTCTGTGAGTTCGAGACCAGCCTGGTCTACAGAACTAGTTCTAGGATAACCAGGACTGTTATACAGAGTAACCCTGTTTCAAAACAAAACTGAACAAAGAAAACAAGCAAACAAAAACCAAAAGCAGATATGACTCCCATCAAGTGATAGTAGCCAGAGACAGAAGGTAACTTGTAAAGGGAAAGCTACACTTCCAACTGGCTAGGAGAAACAAGGGTGCAGGTGACTCCACTGGGTCATGCTCAGCAGGATGCCTCAGGAAGACAGCCAGGCTAACCTTGCTGTTAACTCTGTGGAAAGAGGTGGACCTAGAGAACCATGGACTTGAAAGAGAAGTTTATGATCTCTGGCAAAAAGCCGATTTTCTGGAACAGTGGTTCTCAAATTGCGAAATAAATTGGGTTGCCCAGGAGGTTTGATGCAGATTAGCACGCTTCATCCCGGAGTTTTTTCTTCTGTGAGTTTGGAAGTGGAAGCCAAGAGTTTGCACTTCTCACATGTTTGCAGAGCATGCCTGTGTAGCTGTGCTGTTGATCTCAAAGACAGATTCGAAAGAGGGTGTCGTGCACTCAGAAGACACCCAAAATAGCCCTCTTTAACCCGTGCAGGAGAAGTCTGCAAAGAACTGAGACATGTGTAGAAGAGAAAATAGTATACTTTAGATTTCTTTTCTTTTCTTTTTTTTTTTATTTTTTTTTTTTTTTTTTTTTTGTTTTTTCGAGGCAGGGTTTCTCTGTAGCTTTGGAGCCTGTCCTGGAACTCCCTTTGTAGACCAGGCTGGCCTCGAACTCACAGAGATCCGCCTGCCTCTGCCTCCCGAGTGCTGGGATTAAAGGCGTGCGCCGCCACCACCCGGCTATACTTTAGATTTCTGTATGACTAAATTAACCGTGGTAAGGTTACCTTCATAGAATTATGGGTAGAAGACCCTGTTGTATGTATTGCAACACTAATCAATAGGAATAGAAGAGAGTCATTGAAAGGCTTGTACTAGAGTAGAAGCTGAACAGGAAAGAAATAGCATGCACCCCGTGAGCGAAGGTAAGAGATGGGGGTGAGAGAAGACCATTGAACAGCAATGGAAGTCTAGTGTGACTTATATTTGCGACAGGAAATTGCTAGTGTGACCTAACCATTCACCCGCACCAACATCATCACTACCACTTCACTAGACCATTGATAGTTTTGAAGTAATAAATATTAATTTTCTTACATTTCTTTGTTTTAAACAACACTTAGGATTTTAAAATAAACTCACACTTAACATATCCTTTCATCTGTCTTCCTGTTCTGCATTTACATGCACGTAACTTATTTTACGCCACCGACTGCTTCTGTTTGGTTTGAGGAAGAAGCTGGAACAAGAGAGTGTCAGTGAAGAAGCAGCACAGGGGACAAATGGAGCCCTGTACACTAAGAGAACGTGACCTGGGAATGAAGAAAGGAGGGGAAGGGAATTAACTAAGACTGTAGTCAAAGAGAGTAGCTGTGGAAGACCTTACAGTTCACTGGCCGGGGGTGAAGCTCTTGCCATTAAAGAGCTAAATAGAGTTGTTTGCTAAATGTTTTATAAGATCAAAATGTGTGTTAAAGGTAGTGCTGGGGAGAGAGAAGGAGGAGTGTGCGCTCATGTCTACACTTAAGAGGGGAGATGCAAGTGAGAGGTTGGCAAATGGGGTCATGGATTTGTTTTTCTAAAATTAGCAATGCGGAAGAGGCTCCCTATAAATACCTTTGTAGCCTTTCCGATGGGACAAGTTAATGAGCACTGCCTGGTAGGAGGCTCTAACAAGATGATGTCGTTAGTGAGAATAGTAAAGTCAAAGTACTTGAGGAAAAAGTGGAAATATAGGGAGAGGTATTATTAATGAGTGGGGGCTGGTAATAAAGTTAGCTTGGGAAGGGCAAAGGGCTGGGCTGAGTGAAAACCCTGGATGGATTTGCAGATTGATTTGTACTTTAAATAAGCCATGAGAAAAGGAAAAGAGAAATTAGAAGTTGCTAGATTATTCCATGATCTTAAAAATTGAGCATACCTGCACACACATACATACACACACACACACACACACACACACACACACACACACACACACACACACCGCATTCCATCATGTGCACCACTGAATTTGAACGATACATCAGTGATTTATGGCAGGGGTGCAGAGCATGCCAGGTCTGTTATAAAAGGAACTGACTACAAGGTTTCCATTAGACTATTGATACTAACAGTTCTGTAATCTTACACCATAGGTCACCTAATCTATAGGCATTTCATTTGTGAGGACAGACATAGCAATACTTTGCTTCCATTTTTCAGAAAAGAAAGTAGTGCTTCTCTCATATAAGGATTTCTCTAGGTATCAGCTCTTTGCCCAGTATCCTGTAAAACAGACTATCCTGGGTTAAATAAATTAGTATGCTTGTAGTTATATAAATTAGGTCATAGAAAGACTAGACTGTGTTTATCTTGTAGAATCTGGAACAATGGGTTTACTTCTTTAATCATGGAAAATTTTACATTATTTTCCTCAGTATTAATGAATACGATGCTCAGCCTTGTATTTAAAATAATGCCCCTGAACCTGTCATTCTTGGGAGATGATACCTGTAATATAATTTAAAGCGGCAACAGAACCTATTCCATTTTGTTAAATTCTTACTAATATGACTATTTGAGGTCTGGTTACTTTTTCATCCTGGTACCGGCCTTCAAACTCCATTACTGTGGTCATTCAGACAGATGATATTTTAGTTGAGCATAGAATTAGCACTTATTTTTGGTTATCAAATAGATGATAGATTTTTAGGAACTTATAAAGAGCCTGGTGTGTGTGTGTGTCCATTTCTCTGTGTCCTGTCAAACTTCACAAGGTTTGAAGAGAAAAATAGGAGGAGAAATAAATGAAATCTATTTCCAACCGGTGCTTTCATATGCCAGGATTCAACCTACAGCAAATTTTAATGGTATTCTAAGCCCCTGAAAATGGGAGATTCTTGTGGAATTGCCGGCAGATCTTTAACTGTAGCCTTTTACCTGTGTTGCATTACTATGCCATTAAACTTGAAGATAGAAGAGGATTTAAAACCTTAGTATATTGATCAAAGGATTGGACACCAAGAGTACATCTTTAATAATTCCTTGCCTGAAAGGTGTTTGGAGAAAATGACAGCCAGAGTAGAGCCACTTGATAACATTGGTATTAACTGAAAACAAAACTTGACTGTTGAGAATTTTGCAGACCTTTGATGTGTGGCCTCAGCTACTTCTTGTTTAAGCTACTTAGGACAGCAAGCATTTACAAACCTGAGGGATGCACGCAGTAGTAAGGATCATCGTTCAGAGACCTGTTTTTGAGAAGTAGCTTAATGCAAAAGATCCCACCATCTAAATGTCATATAATAAGATTGCCACTAATATGCTTTCTGAGATATTAAAAATAGCAGAGGACTGAGGAGAATGAAAAACTGCACAGAAACAAAAGAAGAAACCGTTTTAAAAGCTACAGCAGTGACTTCTATCATGGACCCGTTAGCCATTGTCTTCCTGTGACATCCTTGTCTCGTCCATGAACACCAAATCTCAACTTTTGTGGTAATAATAAGACTTGAAAAGCTACATTTTGATGTGCAGTCAACTTGACCTGAAAGCAGAGAAGTTTGTGTGCCATAAGTTATAGATATATTGTTAGAGATAACCAGGAGGATGCTCTGTGATTAAAGATCTGTTTGTATTAAAATTGTGTCATTCTGGGCAGTGGTGGTGCACTCCTTTAATCCCAGCACTCAGAGGTGGGTGGGAGGGGGGGAGAGGGGCAGAGGGGCAGAGGCAGGCAGATTTCTGTGAGTTTGAGGCCAGCCTGGACTACAGAGCTAGTTCCAGAACAGCTAGGACTGTTACACAGAGAAACTGTCTCAAAAAACCAAACAAACAAACAAACAAAAACAGAAAAGCCTTTGCCATTGTCAGGTGTGGTGGCACAGGCCTCCAAACTCACCTGTGAGGAGGTGGAGGTAGGAGGATCACAAATTGTCCAGCTGGAGCATTTAGGGAGACTCTGTCTCAAATATATGGTGGTGGTGAGTGTAGATACATTGAAGCTGGTAATATCCGTTGTTCTAGAGGGGAGAGGGAAACCAGATAATGTTAGCCATTACTTTGTCTCTAATAACCTTTCAGATGTTTTAAAATATTAAAAGCAAGAAAACAAAATAGGTAAAAGTAAGGATATATAATTGTGCACTGTCTAAATTACTCCTCTTTTTCTTCAGGTGTTTGCCATGGCTGCTACTGTGAACTTGGAACTTGATCCCATTTTTCTGAAAGCACTAGGTTTCTTACACTCAAAGAGTAAAGATTCTGCTGAAAAACTAAAAGCGCTGCTTGATGAGTCTTTGGCTCGGGGCATTGATTCAAGTTATCGTCCAACTCAAAAGGTATCTACCCGAATACAAATCTTGGAAAGAGTTGAGGTGCAAATAGTGGTCCAGTGATAGCATGTATATTCTCTTGAAAGACTTTCTACCATAATAATCGCTCTTTAGTCACAAAGAAATTATAATCTTAATGTTGTTCTCTTCCCTCAAGCTTTCAAAGAGCCAGCCAGAATTGTTAGTTTGGACTAGAGCGGTCCTTCTTTACCTGAGAGTTGCAACCCCTTTGAGAGTGACTGATCCTTTCAGAGGGGTTGCCTAAGACCATCGGGGATCACAGATATTTACATTACTGTTCTTAACAGCAGCAGAATTGTAGTTAAGAAGTAGCAGTGAGAGTAATTTTATGGTTGGGGGTCACCGCAACGTGCTGGACTGTATTAAAGCATTAGGAAGGCTGAGAACCACTAGTCTGCAAGGTATGCTCCTTGGTATGTAAAAAAACCACTTGTTTGCAATTTAGTCTCCAGTTCTTTATCATTATTTTTTAATGTGTTAATGGTGTCCAAACTTATTTCTAATCATCCTCTAATGTTTTAAGGATAAAAATATAAATAACACAGGGATTTTTCAACAAAGTGAAATAAATATAGACAGGATAATAAGGGTAAAGATAAAGGTAATAGATGTTAAAACTATGTGGCGCCATTATCAATGGCAGCTCTATGTGACAAAATCCAGTTTGCCTCTTGTAGTTGTTTGATATCAGTTTACGTACCTTGAAACTTTATGGTGTCTTTAAGTAGGCCCTTTTCTAAGTGGTTTGTGAACTTTTGTTCTAATAATGATTCCTTGAAAGTAGTATCGCCTATGTTCCTCACTTCACAATAAGGGAGCTGAGTTGCCTGATAAATTTATTTCACTCAAGCTTGGCAAAATGAGGAGACTCAGAACATATCTTGCAGAATTGTAGAAATTACTGAAAAATAAGTAGATTAGCTTGAGTAGTTTCCACCTAGTGCATACGGGCTCTCTGTGAGAGTCAGGGTGTGGGTACACAGCTGCCCAACTAAGAGGGGAGACAAACGGTATGACTAGCTGGAGTGTAGTCAGAATCTGAAGCGTAAGTTATGCCGACAACCCAGGTTTACTGCCTGGAGCGTTCTAGCAAGAGGGTGGCTACAGAGACCCACAGGAGGGTCTGGGTGATGGCATGTGGCTGCAGTAGTTAGCTCATGAGCATACATGCACATTGTCAAACAACAGATAGGTACTGGCTGTGCATCCGTTAGTTTTTAGTAAGGCCATGGTAGAGAAGAATTTTTCATTGACTATGATGTGGCAGTTAATTTTTAACTGAAAATTGTTAAATTATTACTTTTTGTGTTTGTTTCTCTTTTAGCCCTGGGAATTGAACATAGGACCTTGTTCATGCTATGCAGGTGCCCTACCACCAAACAATAACCCCAGCCCTTCTGTTGTGAATAAAATGAAGGTCTCTTATTTTTTTATTTTACCCTTCAGGATGTGGAACCACCCAAAATTTCAAGCACAAAATCTATTTCTATCAAACAAGAGCCCAAAACATCATCTAGTCTCCCTTCCGGCAGTAGTAATGGCAAAACCCTCACAACCGAGAAGATAAAGAAAGACGCTGAGAAGAGACCTGCTGATAAAGTAAGGATTGGTTTTGGTTTGGCTCATGAAAGGGCAAACCATTTCCGTAGGCAGAAAGAACGCCGGTGTCTACATTTTGTAGCAGTGGGTATAGTTACATGATGATCACTCTGTAAATATGGTTTGCTAGCTGGAGAGGTTGAACTTAAAAAAAAAATGAGTAAAATCTAGGAACATTTATTTGTCCATTTACTTGAGATGGCTGTCGTCCAGCCTTTATACCTCGGGAAAATAATACAGACTTTAATCGTAACTTTGGCAACAGTAGTTGTTAGAAGTAAAACTGACAGAATTGGTGTGATGAACCTTGAACTCTGTGACTTGATGGCAAGCATCTCGAGAAGGCTACAGGTATTTCTTAATTGTATATTTTGGGTAATTTTGTAAATGGTCATTAAAGTTAGCAGCTAACAAAAACTGCGTAAAACTATGTTCAGTAGCCCTTGCCCTCAGGTGGGGCATATTGTCCCGTATATTGTCATCCTATTCCTAAATAATAGATATGCGTGAACAGTGCTTTTATTCTTGCACAGATGCTGTTACACTGTTTGTGTTGTCGTTGAGTTACTTTTTCTTCACTTAGTGATGCTTCGTTTTTTAAGCTTTTTATTACATTCATTTATTTGCAGGAGTGTGAGGCGTGTGTGAGGGAGTCAGTTCTGGCTTTCCCACAAGTGTGTCTTGGGACGCAAACTCAGGTCACAAGTTTGGTAGTGAGCACATTTACCCAGAGCCGTCTCTGTGGCCAGTGTGGTTTTTGAAATATATGTGTACGTCTTGGTATTTGTTTTTCTAGCTGCCATTAGCGTTCTTTCTGTGAATAAAGAAATTTATCAGTTAGGAAATTTAGGAGAGTTCTCCTTTTTCTTTGTTATAATACAACTTCAGTGAGCTTCTTAATCACAGAGATGAATGGTCATTTCTGTGACCGTGTTAATAATTTTTGTAAGCTCTAAGTGGATGTGGGTACTTATATATTCATCATTACTATAAATAGCCAAATTACTATCCAAAATTATCTTACCAAATTCATACCTTTACCAATAAACTTCAGGATTTCTAAATTATCTATGCATTTTCAGAATTTAATTTATGTGACTAGCTTTGAAGCATACATGGCAATGCATTTAGTGTGGAAAGGAAGACAGCTCATTATTCACCTTTTCAATACAGTTTGAATATTGCTCATAAGTAAAGTGTTTTTTTGCACATGTATATGTATAGTGTATGTTCCTATTTCTATGTGTGTTCATGTGTATGAGTATGTGTATGCATGTGTACGTGTGTGTGTGTAGATGCCCAAAGTCAACTCTGGATGTCCACTCAACGACTCTACTTTATTTACTGAGGCAGGGTGTCTTGCTGACCCTGGAGCTCGCTACTTCCAGCTAATGGAGTAAGCTGATCAAGTGCTGGGGTTGCAGTCCACCTCCATGCCTGCTCTTACATGGGTTCTAGGGCCAGACTCTGGTCCCTCATGCTTGCTCAGAAAGCTTATTCAGTGAGACGTATTCCAACCCTTAAGTTTTTGGTTATTTTGTTGTTGCTGTTGTTGTTTTACATAGCGATATTAGTAGTACTGTTTTTTGCAAGTCCAAACATCTTGAATGAAAGAGAAAAGGTAGTAAGTATATCCATTGAATTTCCAGAGTTCTGTAGTATGTATAATACAAAGCAGAATATAGATATTTATTAGACTAGTCTGCTTTATTTATATCTGGCTAGTTTCTTTTAGCATGCTAATTATAAAGTAATCATAATTCTTTTTTCAATTTTTTTGAGAATTTCTTATATGAATACTGTATTTACATCATTTCTACCCCTCCCTTTCTCCTCTCCTACTCCTCCCACGACTCCAACTCAAATTATAGATTTTCCAACTGATCTAAGTGTATAGCTCTCCTGTCTATGTGAAAATGTCTGTAAGATGGACTTTGTCATATATTGTCCATCTTTCCTGTCTGTGACTTAGAGTTTATGCCATGTGACTTTTAGGATCATTCATCATTGGGTTCTTCTTCTTCTTCTTCTTCTTCTTCTTCTTCTTCTTCTTCTTCTTCTTCTTCTTCTTCTTCTTCTTCTTCTTCTTCTTCTTCTTCTTCTTCTTTTTAGATATTTATTAAGCTCTACATCTTTCTCTGCTCCCCTCCCTACCTCTCCCTCCCCCCTTCAGCAATTCCCCAAGGTCCCCACGCTCCCAATTTACTCAGGAGATCTTGTCTTTTTCAATTCCCATGTAGATTAGATCTATGTAAGTCTCTTTTAGTCTCCATATTGTTGTCTAAGTTTATCGGGTTCTTTTTATAGATGAAAGATGTCACTGAAGGAGTTGATATTCCTAAGAAACCTAGATTGGAGAAACCAGAGACCCGATCTTCTCCCATTACCGTCCAAACCAGCAAGGATTTAGCTATGGCTGACCTCTCCAGCTTCGAGGAGACTAGTGCTGATGATTTTGCGATGGAGATGGGCTTGGCCTGTGTTGTTTGTAGGTAAGTTATGTCGTGTTTTCTTAGAAGAGGCAAACAATATCCTCCTACTCTGTTCATTCTGCCCTCCCAGCCCCCAAAATCATAGAATTTGTTAGAACTTTTCTGCTTTGTTTTTATTGTTCAGGACGAAGAACAGGTAAGTAGACCAGAGCACTTTAACACACTGAAATTTGTCAGACCACAGCTTCTTCAGCCTGTTATGTTGTGGTAACCCTGTCTGCATTCTTACATTCTAGAGGAAGGGACTATGCATCCTCTAAGTGAGGGACAATTGGCCAGGAACCTTAGCTCCATCTTTCTTTTGAAACCATCTTCGTTGCCTTTTCTTTCTTTCTGAGTTGTTGATGACACTTAAAAAACAAACTGGTACCTGTCGTTTCTTTAAACACCCTTACCTCATTCCCTGAGAACAGTAGAAATGAATGTAGGTTGTCCTGAATCACATTTTAACCCTGGATGCATAATTACAGAAGCAGATAATTTAATAGAAGATCAACTATCTTCTATTAGAGTTATGTTCTGCTTAGTAAAAGATACATTGGTTTGGATTGGTTTTTGCAGAAATAACTAAATTTTTGTCAGACAGTGGTGACGCTCGCCTTTAATCCCAGCACTCGAGAGGCAGAGGCAGGCGGATCTCTGGGAGTTCGAGGCCAGCCTGGTCTACAAGAGCTAGTTCCAGGACAGGCTCCAAAGCCACAGAGAAACCCTGTCTCACATTCATGTCAAGGACTAATGTTCAACTTACTGCTTTTATTACATAGCAGTAAACAAGATTATCTTTGTGGCTGTTCTAATAAAAATCTTAACTTTTAGTAAGTTGGAACTAAGAAAATATAAGCTCTTGTGAGCCTTACAAATGAGTAAAATCATTTGTTTCCATATATATTGAATCTTTCACGCCTAATCTGCTATGAAAATTAGCATCCTAATTCATTTAGTAAATGAAATGTTGTGAAAGTACTAACAGGGAGAGACAGTGGCCGTGTTATCTTTGGTCAGGACACTTCATAAAATACACTAAGCCTGTGGTGATTGCTTTCTTGTACTTTTGCCATGGATCCTTTTTTGATGCACCTGCTACTACATTCCGTTCAGATTTATATACATTGATCTGACATATTCCAAACAGCTTGTGTGCATCGGATTACACATAACTAGAGTAGGTTCTCGTCTTTAGGTAACTACTGTTTTCTGTTGTTTTTCTTCAAACAAGTTTTATGAGACAGGCTATCACTGTAGCCCAGGCTGACCTAGAACACGCTCTATAGTCCTTGCTATTCTTGCACTCACAGTGATGCCCTTTTCTCAGCCACACGTGTGCCTTCACACCCAGTGTACCTAACTTATTAATGATGAAGACGAACATGTAGCTGTTAACCAAGGGATTTTATAGAGATACCAGGCACGTGCTGCCAGTGCTCTAGGAAGAGTCTAGTACCTGCTGAGAAATAGAAACAGATTGCAATGGTAAGTCGCTATAAATATAGCTAAGCTGAATTGAAATGCTATAATTATTGACTAAGCATAACTTATCACAAATGAAGGTCTTATGTAAGCTTCATATTAATGTTATCTTTCTCATTAATGATTTAAATGATTATTTTTCTGGGATTCTTTTCCTTTAACATAACAAACTTTACCAGAACAAGGTGGAAATAACTTTAAATTGTATGTTGAAGTATTTAGTGCAATGTTTTTCTTAGACAAATGACAGTGGCATCTGGAAATCAGCTAGTAGAATGTCAGGAGTGCCATAACCTCTACCACCAGGATTGCCATAAACCCCAAGTGACAGACAAAGAAGTGAATGACCCTCGCCTGGTGTGGTACTGTGCCCGGTGCACCAGACAAATGAAGAGAATGGTAAGAGTCCTACTTTACATTTCAGCCAGCATCTCATGGTCTTTGTCGGTATATGATTGTAAAATGAAAATTAGGACATTTAGCATACTGAAAAAAATTAATAAACTTTCAAGTGTCCGCATATATACTGTTTGTATGGATTTACATCTTTGTTTGCTAAGCTTAGGTGTGTTCACGTCATATGCCCTTCACGCCTCTCACTCCACTCTCACCACCCTAGTCTACGTTCTCTCGTTATGTATCTAGTTCAGTAGCCTTCTGAGAGGCCTCCTCATTTCCCTGCAGTCTGATCTGTTCAGTACAGTGCTTGGATGATTTATTCATATAGAATAGATACTTCACTTTATTTGTATGTCCCAGTGGCCTTCAGTTACTTCTAATATAAAGTTGGAGTGTGAGTGTGTGAGTGTGTGTGTATGTGTATGAGGTGCATGTCACATAAAAGCATGTATATGGTCTCTCTGTTTTCACCCCATGTCTGCCTTTTAAGTCATAATTTCCTGCTTCACCATGCACAGAGGAATGCTGTCTACTTGCTTCCTTTCCAGTTCATGCGCTACTAACTTTCTTATACAACCCAGGCCCTCCTTGTTGGAGATGGGCCCAGGGCTGGGCCCTCCCCTATCAGTCAGTCATCAAGATGAGTCAACAGACTCCACAGGCTATTCTGATCCGGGTATTTCTCAGAAGTTCCCTTTCCCAGGTGACTCCAGGTTGTGTCAAATTGACAATAACCAGCATGGTAATTACATTTTATTTTATTTTGTTGAAGGCACTGGGGATCGAAGCCAGATCCTTTCATATGCTAGTTAATAGTAACTATTATTATCAGCACTTAACATTATGAGATCTTAGGCTAAACTCTTACATCCTCACAATTCATCCTCATAAACACACCTTTGGAACAGATGGTGCTGCCGCCATTTGCAGGTGAAAGAAATGAGGCTCTTAGGCATTTATGTTCCTCTTGCAGTAACACAGCTGGAGAGGTAATGAGCAGGGCTTCAACCCTTGTTCTCTTTGATACTAAAAACAGTTTCAATCCTTGTTCCATATTGCTTATATAGCTAGGATTGTTTATACACTAAACACTAAGAATCTGAAAAATGATTAAAATATATAAGAAAATTTAATAACATGCTTTGTCTTAAAGTCAGTTACTAGTCAAAACAAAACTGAAAATGCTTAAGGAAAATAAATAAAATTCTCCTTAGATAACATGGAAACGTATACACTATTCCCAAGGATTTAATTTCGCTAGTATGAAAAACCTCAAAGGTTTATTAATTATTCATGATAATTCTTCCCTTCTCGTTCAGTGTTTAAAACCATGTAAACTACCTGAGTTGTTTTTAACTCCCTTTTAGTAACTTAAAAAGTTACACCTGAACCCTAAAAAGAAAGTAATTCTTTGGTTAACTGAAATAATAGAGAGAGTGTACTGCATACTGTGTGGTGCTGGTTGGATGCATCAGTGAGTGTCCCCCAGTTTCCATGACTCAGCATCTATGCACTCCGCCCACACTGGACTGAAAACACTTTTTGGTGAACTAGGGGCATGAAGGCATCAGTACAAAACATATACAGGCTTGTTTCCCCTGCTATTATTCCTAAAGCAATTCAATATATAGCAGCTGTTTGCATGACATTTGTATTTTGTATCCTAGAGATGAGTTACTGTCTACAGAAGTCTTCAATAGGTCATCTATAAATACAGTAATTTTTCCCTTAATGCTCCTAGTGGAACCACAGGGCATTGCCTAGACTAGACAAGTGTGTTTTGTAGCTGAGTTGTATCTCCCAATCATTAGCAGTATTTTGTTTTGGGGTGTAGGTGTGTGTGTGTGTGTGTGTGTGTGTGAGAGAGAGAGAGAGAGAGAGAGAGAGAGAGAGAGAGAGAGAGAGAGGAGAGAGAGAACTTGAACATCCACAGATTTTGGTATTCGTCAGAGGTTCTGGAACTAGCTCTGCATGGATAACAAAGGGGAAAAGGGGAGTTGTACCTTAGTTTGTGATTTTCCTTTCTGGAAAACAGAAGGGTTCTCTTGTTAAAAAAGTATTTAACTTTAATTTGCAAGATTGATAATATCATTACTATTCAGAAACTATTCAGAAGGAGATCTGTAAAACTGTTTAATGTTGATAACTGTTTTTCTGTAGTCTCTACTTTAGTATCACCATGATACCTTTTTAAGAAATATTGCTACCATTCAACAACTGTAGTTCTTTAATAAATTTTTAGTTTTTGTTACTCAATGAAGAGTTTGTATATAATTTTTTTCCTCTGATTTTCATAGGCTCAGAAAACTCAGAAGCCACCACAGAAGCCAGCTCCCACTGTTGTGTCTGTCGCTCCAGCTGTCAAGGATCCCTTAGTGAAGAAAGCAGACACCAAACTTAAACAAGAGACAGCCTTCCTAGCATTCAAGAGAACAGAAGTTAAGGTAAAGTATGTTCCTCTCCGTCTACTTTAATCTCAGTCTGGCTGACTAAAGGGTGGTCACCTGGTAGGAGTTTGATGAGAAACTTTATGATTTGAGTAACTGATGTTGAAAGTGAAGGCTGTCACCAGGAATTGGCTCGACGGGGAGCTTTTGTATCAGAAATTGGCTGTCTGCATTGACATGTGAGACATTATTAGGTTCCCAAGTCTGTGCTGTCTCACGTCTTGCACACTTGTTGCGTCCTAAGCCATCTGTCACTCTATGGATCAACACAAGCCACAGCAGTCATTAAAATCAGACGCGCAACACACAGGCCTTCTTTCTTGTTTATCTTTCATGGAGCGTTGATCTTTTTAGTTGCTTCAAATAACTTTCCTTTGGTGAGGTTTGAGGAAGGGTCACATAGCCCTTTGGCAGGAGGTTTCTTGTTTGATAGAAACAAAAGGAGAAAAAAAATGGATCTTTCAAATCAGAAAATTTAAAATGTGCCACATTGTGTCCTTTTGCTTCCTTTTTTTGTCCCTAGCAGTGTGTGTCGCAGGAATTTTTATTTTTCCTAATCAGGTCATCATGAGATAATTATATGGTGCTATTATAAAAATGTGGTTTTTCAGAACACATGGACAAATATTTTAACTTCTATTATCAAATAAAGGCCCCTAGCATCTTCCTTTATTACTTTTCCAGTGGTAAACACTGCTCCTATCCAGACAACGTTGAAGGCGGTCTTGTAAGAACTAATAATGTTTTGCTAACCATTTTCATTGGTGTTCAAAGCTATTACATACATAAATAGGTAGTCTAAGTATTATAATACCATCTTAATATATATTGTATATTACCATTTTAACACAGAGTGTTCATTGTCTGACTTCACCTCTGGGTGATCTTTGAGACCCTCTCAGTATGAAGGTAGACAGTGTGTGAAGTTGATCAGAGACTGAAATGTTCCAGCCTTACAAGAGCTAAGAGCATGCAGACGGCCCCACAATGCCACAGTGCAGCCCAAGAGGCAGCTGTCAGTCTATGTGACAGTGGGGCTCTGTTGCTGTAGTTTCCATGGAAACACACATTGAGAAAGTGCATCTGAGCTCTTTGTACTACCCCAGAGTTTAAACATCTGTGTTTGCCTTGTAGTTCAATCACAAATGTTTGTGGCAACTTGGTTATTTTAAGTAGCTTCAGAACTTGAATATAGATGTTTCCTTTAACACATTCACTGGAAATAGCTATGGATTGAATCTTTGACTTAGTTTTTTTTTTTTTCTGAATATCTTGGGTGCAAACAGTTTTATCCATTACAAGTAGATTTCATTTGGATGTGTTATGGGCAAGGTAATACTTGTTGTGGTTTGTGATTGGATCTAAAGGCAGTTCCCCAAAAGAATTTCATGTATTTTCTTTGAAGTCATTGGAACAGTGTGGCATTCAGCAACTGCAAGCTGTGTTGCATCCTCCCTGACTACAGAAACCCCCATGTGCTTTTCCAGCTTCATAGGAACCTAATTTTGTTGAATTGTCCAGATTGGCCACATCATCGCTTTTTATACACAGCTAAATGTTTGCATTCAAAGATATTATACAGGTTTGGATTATACTTGGTTCTAATGTAATATTTATCCTCGTCTTTTTTTTTTAAGCCACCCACGGTTATATCAGGAAATTCTTCTGGTAACAACGTGTCCTCTTCAGTAACTAGTGGCCTAACTGGATGGGCAGCTTTTGCAGCCAAAACATCTTCGGCTGGACCATCAACAGCAAAGTTGAATTCAACAGCGCAAAACAACAGCGGAAAACCTGCTGCCTCATCAGCTACCCAGAAGCCTGTGGGTTTGACTAGTCTGGCAACATCTTCCAAAGGTGGAATCGGGTCCAAAATGGGCTCTGGTAACTGCTCTTCCCCCACTGTACCATTAAAACCACTTCCACCTCTAACCTTAGGCAAGACTGGCCTGAGTCGCTCAGTTAGCTGTGATAATGTCAGCAAAGTGGGCCTTCCCAGTCCCAGTAGTTTAGTTCCTGGAGGCAGTGGGCAGTTGAGTGGGAATGGAAATAGTGCTACTTCGGGGCCCAGCGGAAGCGCCACAAGCAAAACCACATCAGAACCCAGCAGCAGTGCCTCAGCGTCTCTTAAAGGCCCAACTTCACAGGAATCACAACTCAACGCTATGAAGCGATTGCAGATGGTCAAGAAGAAAGCTGCCCAAAAGAAACTCAAGAAGTAGTATGGCGAGATAGGTTTTTATATCAATTATTGCTCTAAAGATTAAAAAAAATCCTTATTGGGACAAAAAGATATAATATACTGTAACTTAATAAAAATCTTGATGATCAAATCTCTATTGTTTGTTACATTAAAATGCTAATAATATTTAGCCAAACTTGAAACCATTTATTTCAGTCTGTTTAGCATTTTTAATAATTTCCATAATGTGTGAAAATAGTGATTATAATGACTGGTTCATGATGAGAACGTCATAAGATTGATGACATATGCAGATGTAAAGAAATGGTTCACCTGGCACAATACTCCAAGATTTAAATCTCTAAAATAAGGTACTTTATGAGTGACAGGGATTACTCAATCTAGTGTTTTATAATATTCAGTTCTCTGCCTTATGGGGAGCTCTCTCCCTCTCTCTCTCCTGTGAACTCTAGCCATAACGTCATCCTGGATGAGGTGATCCAAGTCATTGCCTGGAAAGCTAATGAGTTAGTCGGCCATCAGTTCACGTATATATCCCAACAAAGAACAGGATGCTTTCAGTGTCAGGTCAGTGTATTACAGAAGAATGCTGCATCCTTTTTACAATCAGCAAACACCTCATCCTTTCCCGAAACCGAATCCTATAGTTTCCTATAGTTACTGAATTGAATTGTCTTATCACCCTAGATGTGTGCTACAAAATCTAATCTCAAAGCATTTTCCTTTATCCCTAGGTTTCCTAACATCATTAGTCTAAAATAAATTGGTAAATATGTAAAGTTAAAACTTAAGTTTTGTCTTTTTCCTGTGGAAAGGTTTTTAAACTACTCTGTTAAATATTCGCATTAATTTATTCATAATTTAGACCCCAGTACTGAAATAAACCCATTTTTTAGAGATGGAATAAATATCTTGGACATGCTTTAAAAAAATCTGCCTGTAAATGTTTTTGTTTTGAGAAACATCTTTCTGTTGATAAGAATTGTTTTGGTATAAACTCCAAATCCTCTTTATAGGGAGTTCAGAATTGTTTGTTGTTTATAATTCAAGTGCAATTTTGACTTCACAAAATGATGTGTCAAAAGCTATTACAGTCACTATCTTGAAAACAGGGAAATAATGCTTAATACAGTTTACTTATTAGTATTTGAAGTGAAAATTTTTACCCCATCCCAGAAAGTGTGCTGGAGTTGAGAGAAACAACTTTTGATTTTTGCATCATTTCTTGGAAATTTTAATGAATTTACAAAGTAAATTATCTCTCAGTCAATATGATTTTTTTTGTATATGTAATGTGTGTGTGTGTAAAGTAAGGGGCCAAACTCATTTTGATAATTTTTAAGAGATATATTTAATGTTAGATTTTTATCTCAAATAGCTCTTAGGCCTTTATTTTTTTTCTCATGGCAAAGTATGCCACAAGAAGCAGTTATGAGAGTTGCAATAGTGTGTTTTTATTTTATTATGTATAACAAAACAAGTGTTTCTTGCACTCAGGTTATGTGAAGGGAAAGCTTGTTTTCTCTTGACTAGCCCTGAAATTGAAATCTGTCTGTTGGCTCAGTGAATGAGTGGACAAGTGAGTAGATGTCCTAGCTTTCTGTTGTGGTAAGTATCTGACAGAAGCAACATAAGGGAAAAAGGGCTTATTTTGGCTCAGTCTCCAATGGGTAGAGTCTATTTTGATGCTGAAGGCATGGCACAGAAGCGTGAGGCCAGTTGATCAGGTTGTCTGGGCAGACAGGAAACAGGAACAGGAAGTAGAGCGAGTCTACAAAACCTCAAAGCCCTCTCCCAGTGATTTGTTTCCTCCTGGGAATCTCAACTTCCTATAGATCCCATAACTTCCCCAAAAGCATCTCCAGGTAGCAACAGAATGATCAAATACATGAGCTAATGGGGAACATTGCACATTCAAACCATAAGATCAATGTTCTTGTAAGTTTTTAGGATTGATGCAAACTGCCTTTCAGGCAGCATCCTTTTTATGGTCTTCATGTTGTACTTTGTGAGATTGACCGTAGAATTTAGTGACTTAAAGAAATGGCGCTGAAAAAATAATAGTCTCAAGATGAAATGACTTGAACCCTTTTGTGTTCATTTCTTACTTTGCTGATTTTGTTTGTTGGCTTACTTTTTGAGGTGGAGTTTCTCGGTGCTGCCTTGAAACTCAGTTTGTAGACCAGGCTGGCCTCTGTCTCTTGAGTGCTGGAATTAAAGGCATGTGCCACCACCACCCAACCTGCTCAGGTTTGCTACTTTATAAGACATAGTTCAGATGAGATAAAATGGAAGACACTAATACAAACGGCCCCTGGTTTATAATGCTTTGTTTTTTCAGTAGTGCCAAAGTAATATACATTTATTAGGATCTGCATTATCTTCCTGGGCTAGTCAGATACTGTATAATACTCTTCCATTTCTGAGCAGATTGTAGCTTGCAGTACTTCATGTAATCATGCCAGCAAGCAACTGGTGCTCTCTATGTGGTGATGACTTGCAGAACTCTCATGATTTGTCAGTAGGTCAGGATATTTTAAACCCATGGTGAGTGTATCAGGATATCACTCCACTATAAATTAAAGCACATCTGTATTTAAAAATTGGTTCCAGTTCTTAACAAGGGTGTGGTAGCAGTTTTATTAGGTACAAACTATAAATTGTTATGATCACGGGTTTCACAGGAAACATCACTTAATAACAAACTGAAATTTCATCGGTACAATCATCATAAATATCACAAGAAGTTAAAAAAGGTGATGGATACATTCAGATGCCTTAGTGGAGGTTTAAGCAAAACAAAACTTATTTAGTAAAACTGTAGTCTCAGGATTTATGAGCAAGAATATCTCAATTCTAGTCTTTTTCTAAAGTGGTGAGTTACTTTTCAAAACACTCAGATTTACCTGCCTCTAACAGTAATGCCTAAGACATCTCAGTGAGCTCCAGGAGCCCTGAGGAAAGGTAGCTTTGTAGATCACATAAAAGTTAGTGATGCGCCGGGCGTTGGTGGCGCACGCCTTTAATCCCAGCACTTGGGAGGCAGAGGCAGGTGGATCTCTGTGAGTTCGAGACCAGCCTGATCTACAGAACTAGTCCCAGGACAGGCTCCAAAGCCACAGAGAAACCCTGTCTCGAAAAACCAAAACCAAAAACAAAAAAAAGTTAGCGATGCGTTTTTACATCTCTGTGTATAGAGAGAGGGAAGTAGCCCCAAAATTAGACGTTAGAGTTGCATCCTCTTAACAGGATCTTTTCCTACAGAATTTCAAGTCCAGTGTCTGTCTAGCCAGTGAACTGTAGTCACATCTTCGTGACCACGATGTAAATGTCTAAGTTTGTTCAGCCTGAGTTTTGTGAGGTCTGAATGTTGAATGTGAGGTCACTAGTTAGCAATGCAGTGGGTGTAATAGGAAGCTATACTTCCTAATATATTAGGAAGTTACTGCAAACGACTTAGAGGGTTTCATGTCTTAAGATTTTCTCTCTTCATACAGCTGTGTGAGGTTAACATGGTAGAAAAAAGTCTAAGAAGTGGACGAGAAAATCCAAGAATTTTTAATTCTATGATTCAGTAGTTGAAACACTCAGTTTTGTAAATCACCCAAACTATGTTCATTCCAAATAGCATCAGGCATTTAAAAAGCAATTACACAAAATCTGAATTATTTTGGAAGGATTGAATGTTTAACATCTGTCACACATTGCTCTACCCACCTTTCAAATTCAAGATATTTTTCTGGAATATAAAGAATGTTCCAGTAGTAGCTGTGTGACTTCTTCATGATTCCACAAAATGACAATTTTAGATTACTAGATGTGTATTTTATACTCTACACTTTATTCCATATACTAGTAGTTTTGAACATGTACATTTCAAAATGAAATGTAAATAAGATGCATATATTTTTATTTATTTTAAAAACAAAAATAGCTACAAAAGCTTCCTCTTCATTTTGGCAAAATTAATCGCCCACTTCAGAGGATCCTATTCTGTACAATATTAATTTAAAGAGTAATATAACAAAATGCATTAGCTTGCCTAGTTGCAATTATACTGATGCAACCAATCTTTTGACCTGCTTAAATATAAACATCCTTTAAGCTATCTTGAAAACTTTTTTTTGAGGCCTAGTAGAAGGATGTATAATTTTAAAATTATAATTTATTGGTGTGGGAAGTCCTTCTATGTCCATGTCCTTATGTCTTAATGTCTATTGATTTTAAAGAAAGTAAGAAGAAAATGAAGGTGTTATGTAGTTTTTCAGAGCTCATTTGTAGTAACGTGCTCATCATGATTGGAAAGTTGCAATCACTGGCTTCATAACGGTTCTTTCTCTGGAGCTAACTGAAGTATTGATTGTCCTGGTGTGGATTTTTCAACAGTCAGACGGGATGCATCATGCCTAGGCCCACACCAGTAGACAAAGTTGCCCCTTCATGTAATCACTTATTTCAGCCAGAAATCTGTGCTATTGATATAATTTGTGCTATTGATAGAATTATTTTTGTGTGAAACACTGAAGCTCAATGCTACGTACAGGTGTGCAGGTACACGCTGCAGTATGTAAATTATGCATCTTTGAACATTGCCATAAGATCCTTATGTAGCAACTTCAGTTTTTGTTTAACCTTAGGCAAATGAATTTGTATTTTAAAGATGAATTCAAGGGCAATTAAAAGAAAATCTTAAAGTCTCTAATATCTTTTAGAAATCTTTTGTTATCCTACTTAAAAAAAAAGAAAGCAGTTTGTGCAAAAGCCATGTTAGGAAAATTTTATAAATCTGTTTTCAAGAATTCAGTAGTAGTACAAACTTTCCTTCATATAAGGGAAGAGGGTATGACATTTAGTCAGCTACAGTAGAAATCTTTATTTTGTCATAGATATTGCAGTAATAAATGCAAAGTAATATATGTACAGAAAATTGGATCTAATCTCTCAAAGTAAGAAATCTTAAAATATGTCATTAGAAATCTTATGGGCAATTAAAATCTACATAATTATGAGTAACCACTAAAATCAAAATTACGAAGATCACTGTTACATGATCCTCTAAACACACTGTTTATTGCCAGTACTCATCACGGTGTTAGTTCTAGAAATAGGACTGTCCTCTTTGGACTGTAAACTTTGCATGGCAAGGCACTGAGTTGATTTGAACTGTGCTAAAGCCTTCAAATCGACCAGAATGCCTGGGAGACAGCAGCTATTCAGTAATGCTGACCAAGTAGATGCATGCCGGACATTTGGGTCTTCATAAAACTTCCTCTATAGAGTTGTTTCATTCAATTATTTTCATTTTCTTCCTCTACTTCTGAACACTCTCCCTGGCTCATGTCATCTCTGTGTCTGTTCTACTTTATCTATTTTCATCCAATCACATGCCTTGACTGAATGAATAAGCCTGAAATTTTGGAGGCCAGTTCTCTGAGTGGTACCCAAGTTAAAGCACAATGCCCTGAGCAAGGGGTTATAGCTAGTCCAATCCTCAGTGCCTTGTGTGAGCACAAACTGGCCACTAAAGCATTTACATTTTGTCTCTGAAGTGGAACACACATTCCCCATGCATCTCCAAATCGTTAAAGAAAACATTTCCTCATTAAAGTTTCATCAGTAATCATATACAGCAGCTTTAAGACAATTTCAAACATGCTTAAACACAACAATAAAAGTACAAATAATAAATCTGGATACTTCATTTTTTCCCTCCCAGGCTTGTATAGAAGTCTTTGGAAGCTCTTCATTTTGAAAAGCTGTTAAATATTGAAATGTGGATCTGAGAATGATTTCCTCCAGGTTCATTATTTACATTGCTGATTTGCATTCAAAGAGTGTATGATGTAGTCATTAGGAACAGAGACCTTGAAACCATGCTGCCTATGTTTGATACACCTCTACCACTTGCAAGCAATGTTGATTCTTTACGTTGCATTAAATTATTCTATATAAATAATCTAAAGCAATGTCTACCATGTAGTATACTTTTAGTAAATTTTGGATATTATCAATATTTTGTTTCCCTTTTGATTAAAAATGCATTAAAAGTGGAAAGACTTCTAATTAGCTGTTAATTATTTTTATGTGTAATTATGCTGTGATTTATACAGATATGTATAATCTAGATTATACTCATCATGTATAAGCTGCAAAATATATATTATATGTATATAGCATGTGTGTGCAAATAAGATGTAAAAAATATGCTTAAGGCAAAGTACAGTAAAAATATTACAATAAAGTGAAAACCTTATTCTTTCACTCCTTGGTGTTGATAAACAAAATATATCTTTTAGAAAGATCTTTACCTTTAAATATGTAGTTGGAGTCTAGGCTGTTTACTCTCTGCTGTTTCTGTTGGTAATATCTCTATCAACAACTATTTTTTAATACATCAACAAAATCATCTTATTAAAAAGCAAGATTTTTCTTAAAATATGATGCACTGCTTCTGGTCTGCAGTTTCAGTGTCTGTTTCATGAGGTAGTCAGGAAATGATGTCATTTTATGCTTATTTTCTTAAGCATATGTCATCTTCCCAAGGTAGTTAGCTGGCACGTAGCCTTTCTGTCCTTGGGCTTCAGCTAACCACCACTCTCTGTTCCCACTTAGGTCACAGAACCTCAGTATGTGGACTCTCTGGTACTCCTGGAGGCTGAGTTCATGGTCACTTCGTGCTTGGAAAGCATGGACTGCATAGAAAATCTAGACAAGAAAAAAAAAGACATTATTGGAACAAAACCCAGAATTTCGGAGAAACCAGGTTTCTGACGATAAGGGGCTCCTAGCTTTTGACAGTCACACAGTCCCTGACTTCACGATGAATTTGGTAGCACATAAGAAAGGAAATAGGCACTCTTTCTAATTGGAAGGCATGCTTGAGACAATTCGGCAGTTTCTATAAAATGTTTCTCGTTAATTCTTTGAATCAATCGCTCAATCTCTTCTGCAAACGAAAACACAGATCATTTCTGCACAACATTTCTGTGTGTGGAGTGAGAAATTGGAGGGATGTGGAAATGTGTTGAAGAGTTAGAGAAGATAAATTATAGACCCCCATAGTAAATAAAGCTGTAGTCATTAAAACAGCAATATACAAAGTATTCACATTAAGTATTTTTTTTAATGTAAAATTGCAGCTGGAAGATGACTTGGTGGTTAAGAGTACATGAACTTTTGCAGAGGACCCAATTTAGGTCCCAGCACACACTTGGGAGTTTCACAACCAGTTGCCGAAATTCCAGTTCCAGGGTATCCAGTGCCCTCTTCTGACTTGGAGAGTAGCTGCTCTCATGCAGACACATCCCAACACACAGACACATATGTATAAAATTAGATGAATAATGTATGTCTCAAATTACATTTCTCTGAAAAATATTTCACAGTTACTAGGTAAATTGGAAGACCTCTGACCAGTGTTGAAGTCATTGTCTAGTAACATCATAAGGCTGCTAAAAGAAATGCTTCCTTATGATAAAAAATTAAGCAATTAACCCACACATTTGTATATTCATTTAATCAAACTTTGTAAAAAAAAATTATGTCAGAACCTTACAACTCAGCCAAAGCAATAATGAATCTTTACAAAAGAAAACAACAAAACCACAGTGCCACCGTCACCAACACAAAAATGCTGGGGTGCATTTTAAAGCAAGTGATCTTTCATAAGGGACACATTAATAAAGGAGGTTAGTATGTCACACCCACAAAGGTGGATACATGGAAAGGTGATGGAAAAAAAGGATGGAAAATTGAGGGCTGTGAAAAATGAATTGATGTCACTGAACTAGAAAAGAGATGGACAGTGTAGTGAGAGAGCCAAGATTAGACTGTGGTTACATAAATGTTAATGAATCACTTACCTCAATAAAACTCTGATGCCATTAACTGTTACCTTAACAAGGAGCCTGAGGCAGAATTCAAGGAAAGGAACCATATTGCTAGGGTTGGAAGGGTCTCCCCCACCAGTTCTAAAGTAAGTACACTCATCCCTTCTAAGTGAAAGTCTAGCCAAAACGTACTATCCATGAACTAAAAAGTTGACTTCATCAGACCAAAAATAGTGCTTGATATCAGATTTCGGGTCTCTACAACCGTGAGGATTTTGTTGTTGGTAAGCCAGTATACAGCATTTTGTTAATCGCAATTTGAATGGCCCAAGGTGTGCCTCTCAACTGGTCACATATGCTGTGTGCACAGTAGAGTTCAAATCTTCAGTTGACCTAAAAGGTCTGGATATCATAAAGAGATTGTGGTGCGTGCATGAGAATAGATAGTTAGAAATGGATTATGCTGTTTGGAAGTAAAGAAGAAACAGAATAGAGGAGCTATAAATTCTTAATGAAATTTCAGCAGTGATAAATACATTTTACTGAGTTTGTAACTGTTTATGTCACATGAGCCGCATCCTCAACAGCCCTCTCAGTTAAGACTTAGAAACAGTCTCACTCACAAGGCTACCCAGTGCTGCTAGGACCGATGTTTTCTAACTCCCAGTCCTGTGTTTGATCAATTTCTTTTAGGGTTTTAGGAATCAACGTCCAGTTCTAAGAAAGAAAAGAACAGTGTATTTTTGGAAAAGGTTCTGTGGTCTCTCCTCTGTCCCTACTGTTCTGCAGTTTTGAAAGTGACAATATTGAATAGGTCCATAAGATTAGTGTGGTTAATTTGGTTTGCAAAAGCGTCCAGGAGTGTGACGTGCTAAATTATAGTGCCGGAGTGATCTATAGGAGCTGGAATCAGCAGTGTGATCATCTTTGCAATTTGAATCAATAATAAATACGCTTCTTTAGCTCAGGCATGGATTTTTCAGAAGGATAGATTAGTTACAATCCCATTCCTCAACACTGTGTAGTCTTTCACTTTGGAACAGATTTCCTCAAAGGGAAAATAAAATTTGGTTAGATATATTTATTATTATTATATGTATTTTGTTGTGGGTTTTTTTTTAGACAGAGTCTAACTGTGCAGTCATCGGCTTGCCTAGATCTCACTATGTAGATCAGACTCACCTTGAATTCATAGAGATCTGTTTACCTCTGCCTCTAGAGTATTGGAATTAAAAGTGTGTGCCACCATACCTGACTTAAAATATATAATTTAAGCAAATATAAATTCTCATGAAGTAAGAAATTTAAAATACAAAATTGTGTGACACTTTTAAATTATCATGGTTCAAATTTGTTTTAAATTGGCAGTTTCTAGTTCTTACATAACATGCTAAATAAAGGTGTACTTTATATGCTCAAAATGGGCCTACATCTGCTTTGAAAGAGAGAGTGTCTCTGGTCTTCTAATTATGTGTGTGCGCGTGTGTGTTTTAGATGATAAATTAGAGGTTTTCAGCTTGTCATGAATTTAAGAGCAGAGTGATTTATTTTCAAATCTCAGTTCACACTCTCTAACTTTAAATGTGTATATGTTTTTGCCCATGAACATTCATTAAAATGTTATTAATATGGTTCATAATCATGTATTTCTTTTTTCCTTGTTATTTATAAAATGTTTTGCTGTTTGTTCCTTTGCTGCATTTCATTTTAAATATGATAACCTGGCAATACAGGTCAGCTCTCCACAGCATTTGATTTAAGATCACCTAGACTCTCACCGTGATTATTATCCATAAACATCATACTGTTCCCTGTGGCACCATTGCTGCCTCAGCAGCCACTTACACTACATATCTGTGCATTTAATTTTTATTTCTTAACTTCACTGCATTGTGCAATCTCGTTTTTATTGATTTTATCCCAATTTTCCAATTACAAACAATAAAATTCATAACATATTTTAATTTTCTTTTCCCAAACTAAAAAGCTTTTAAAGCAGCATTTACTGTATTAGTTCCAAAGCCAAAATAATTATACTGCTGGAAACATATCATTCTTTCCCTCACCTGCTAGAAGCCAGCTTTTATTTTCTTCATTCAGTGATTATATATTTTTATTAACAAGTAGGATTTTATGAAGTAATCTAGGGTTTAATAAAATATTTTAACATGGATTTAAACCTGGGGGTTCAAGAAAGAGTACTTCCTAGAGCCTAAAACACACCCGAGTGCCTGAGTGTGGCTTTCACTAAGATATTCTCACTTTGGGAATGTTAGAATGGTCATATATAGGACTTGGGAGAATTTGAAGCTACTTTCATAAAAGGTGATAACTGAGAGGACAAAGGTGGGTCACAGGCATGTTTGGAGGTAGAGTTATTTTCAGTGTAAACAAATAGTTCTGATGGAAAAAAAGTCTCAAAAGTAACAAAGAAAAAACACCCGCTTAGGTGCTATAAACATCTTTATTCCCTTTCTCTCTCCATCCTGTCCTCCCTCCCTCTCTTCCTGAAATGGCAATAAATGTGGAATTGGATATTTTGACAACCTTTGGCCTTCAAAATATTGTAAAACATTTCCATATTAAATATTCTCTTAATCTTCATTATAATGGATTACTTAAATACCTTAAGATCAATCTGCCACACAGTTGATAAACTTTCAAAAATAGCATATTCAATATCACTATCATAAGTAGTTATAAAATGCAAAATCAAAGACCAGCTCACAAGAATGAGAAAACAACAAACTTGTCTAAAAATGTGCTCCATAGAAAAAGATCACATGCCAAGAAGCACATTTTCAAAATAATTGAGGAAATCCTCTGCAGTAATGTGAATGGTCCCTATAGGCTCATATGTTTGAATACTAGGTGCCCATTTAGAGGAGTTGTTTGGGAAGGACTAGGGGTGTGGCCTGGTTGGAGGAGGTGTGTCACAAACACCCATGCCAGTTAGGATAGTCATGGACTCTAACCTTCTGAAACTGTAAGCTGCAAATAAACTCTTTCTCACATAAGTTGCCTTGGTCATGATATCTTATCACTGCAATAGAAAAGTAGATGTCCTTGAAAGCCATTCACCAACTTCTTATGCCCCAAGGTCCAGGTTAAAGGCTTAGATCAACTATGGAAATCACAGAGAAGATACAGAATGAACTTGTGGGATATTTGTAGAGTGTGTGAAGATGTATTCACTATGATTGGCTTAATAAACAGCTGAATGGTCAAGAGCTAGGCAAGCAGAGAGGACTCTGGGAACAAGAAAGGCAGAATCATCAGGAGATATGGAGAGGAAACAGGAGATACAAAGTAGAAGAGAGGTAATACCCTCTTAATTAATTATTAATTATTAATCTATTAATACATAGATTAAGATAACTGGGTTCCTTTTAAGTTGTAAGAGCTAGTTAGGAAAAAGCCCAAGCTATAGGTGGAGCATTCATAAATTAATAAAATGTCTCCATGCCATTACTTTGTGAGCTGGCTGGTGGGACAGGAAAAGATTCCTTATGTAAGCCAGTCTTCAGCTGTCTATATCTCAGGATTCTCAAATCCTCAGAGATGCCCCCTTAAAGTCAGGTAGAAGCCCTTCCTCCTAGTCAGGGTGCACTTGAATCATCAAGAAGACTCCAGTACAGCCTAAAACTCCGTAGTATATGCTTCTGCATGTCTGGAGGATAATAAGAGGTACCGCCCTGTAGGAAAGAGCAGAGCAAGGAATAGTGGCCCCAAACACCACCCAGTTAAGCGGTACAGGTTACAGTTGATTTTCCTGATTTTTAAGTTTAAATAGTAACGCAGAAAATTGCTTTTGGGGTCTATCATATATAAGATTTGACAAAGATCCAATTTACTACCGCTTTCAGTCACTTATGTGGACCTCTATGCTGTACCGTTCTCTGTGACACCCAGAGCGGATGCAGTGGAAACACCAGACTGTGGCAAGCATGAAGATGCCATCCTTTCTCCTTATTCCCAGGAACGAAGAGCAGCTGCACTAGGAGTCTGAAAACCACCAGCCTCTATGTGTCTCCTGTCAGAGCTAAAGGACGAAAGGAAGTATTCCTTCCTGGATCTTCTTTACTTTTTTCTTTCCTTTGGCTGGGGCTCCCCACAGGGGTCGCTTCTCTTTGCAGTAGTTGATCTGGGACATACTCTGTGCTTGCAGTAAAAAGACCTTCAATTTGAATGAAATCACCTTAATCTGAATGAAGTTATCAGGGATCCCATGAGACCACAGATCCAAAGTGGGCTTTCTGGTTCAATTTTATTAGTAATAATGCTACTATTTATCCAATGCCAGTTATCTATGTTAAACTGGTTTCCAAACTCAGAGGAAACAGAATAAACAGGATTTTTGGATAAGAGCCTCTAACATATTTTCTATTTTGATTCCCTGCTCTGCCCCCCCCCCTTCATTAAAGAAAACATTTAGCATCTAATTTACCTCATTTGTACTGGTAGGATCACTTGAGGAAGATTGTTTTATTGTAGCTGCTAGTGGGAGCCAGGTTTATACTGGGCTCTTCCAGCTGAAAGAACCTAAACCATGTTTAACTCTAAATCCTAGTAAAGTTAGGCTATGGTTAGAATAATTATCATTCTAGCTTCAGGATGCTGTCTTAGTTACTATTCTATTGCTGTGAATAGACACCATGACCAAAGCAACTCAAAAAAGGAGACACTGAATTTAGTGGTTGCTTACAGTTTTAGAATGTGAGTCAGTGATCACCATGGCAGGCAGAGGACAGGCCTGGTGAAGGATCCAGTAGCTGAGGGCTTTACATCCTGATCCTCATGTAGAGGCAGAGAGAAGAGGGGGGAGAAGGGAGGGAGGAAGGAGGAAGAGAGGGAGGAAGAAAGAGAGACAAAGAGGGAGGGAGGGGGAAACCTGGGCATGGTGTGGACCTTTGACTCTCAAAGCCCTCCCCAGCAACAGACTTCCTTCAACCAGGACACCCTCCTAATCCTTCTCATCCTTCTCAAATAGTTTCACTACCTGGGAACAAGCATTCAAATGTTTGAGCTGTGTGAGCTATTCTTATTCAAGCCACCAGAGACGTCATTCCAAACTCAGATTCTGTCGAGGCTGTTGAGGTAAGTAATGTAAACTATGAGAATATTCAATCAGGTACACAGATTTCACCGAATTAAAAAAAATACCCACAAATGAGTTAACATTATAGTGTGTCTTTCGGAAGCTGTAAGCAAGCTGAGAGGGCTAGCAAATGACTAAAATCGTGTGCTTTGGAGCTACAAAATGGAGTAATGAGAACATGCCTTGAATATCAGGTAAATTAAGAGTCCATCATGGCTTGGAAGGGAGATTTGCAGGTAAAAATATCTGATAAAGAAGTTACAGTCAGAATTTACAAAGAAATCTCTCTCATAATTAAGAAATAAGAAGAATTTAGATTTGTGTTACTGAGATGGACAGGGAAAGGATAATAAAGGAATTTTAAGGTTAGAAAAAAAGTAGGCAAATATTTGACTAGAAAACAGAGTGATTAATAAGCATACAGAAAGAGACAAAGAATGTTCCTGGAATTATTTCTTTATGTTTTTTAAAAACAAAACATTTTGAATATCTTTTACTGGGCTAGTAGTCATGCATGACTTAGTCTACAAAATGGAATGAGAGTCTCTGTCACAGTTCAACCACTCAGGAGACGGATGTGAAAGGGTGGCCTGGGATGTATCATGAGATGCTGCCTCAAAAAACAAATTTCTTTTAAAGACTCTTCAGAGAATTGTTTTAAGGAATAAGTTCATTATAAAGACAGAGTTGTGTTTAAGCGTAAAAAAAGTAACACATATGATATGTTTTATTTGTGTATACATTTATGTATGCACAAATATATCTGAAAGACATACACGGGATGCTGTCTTTGGAGAGCATCACTAAGGGGGAAGTGAATAAAGACATTACATTTAATTTATGGATACTGTTCCAGTTTCACTTTCTGAAAATAAAATGTATTACCCCTGTGGAAAAGAAATTTAGGCTAATGGAAATTACTAAGTTAAAAAGGCAGAAAATTAGTTGGTTATTACTTGGAGATTAATAGTTGAATATGCCAAAACTTTATGAGGTAGCAAAAATGAACCTTACATTATAATTAGCTTACCAATTTTTGAAGGTGCTGTAGCAGTAGTTTTCGCATTGGCGCAACGAGAGAAAGGCAAGTTAGAAAGCTTTCGTGCCTAGCAGGTGGTATTAAAAAGAGGTGAAGTTTCTAAGTTCTACTCATCTTAATTAAGGCATTGCCTCTAGAACAGTAGTCTCAACCTTCCTGGAGCTGAGGCCCTTTAATACAGTTTCTCATGGTGTGGTGACCTCCAAGCAAGCAATTATGTTCAATACTATTTTATAACTGTAATTTGGCTACTATTATGAATCGTAATATAAAAATCAGTGTTTTCTGAAGTTCTTAATTATCCCTAACCCCAAAGGAGTAGCAACCCACAGATTGAGAACCACTGTTGTAGAGGCTTCAGAGACGAGTTCCTCTCTGATATTGATGACCACAGATCAGCTGCCTTTCTCCAACGGTGGAGCATTAGAAAATAAATTCTTGGCCACCATGAAGACTTGGCAGTGGAGTAGTGGCTGCTAAGGTTTGTTGGATCTCTAGTCTGTGTCAAGAGTTCAGCATGCATGTCAACCCTACTCAAAACACCGACTTTGAAGCATAGGGATTGTTTTTTGTTCAGTTTTGAGGAAACAGGTTTAGATAATTAAATTCTTTGCTCAACAATCCACAGATGGTATGTGCTAATAGGTCTAGGTGTTTTCAATGTCCAAGCTGGCGGTTTCCTAGTAAGAATTTCAGATCAACGTGAGTAAGGTTAGAGATTCTTTGATTTGAGTGGCCAAGTATTTTTTTACCTCGTGGTTTAAAAGTCTTACCTGTTCGTCTACCTCTTGAAAGTGATCAACATCGGCACCGTTTGTTTCAGACTTCCCACAAGTGCCACTAAGAGACGAACTGCTGCCGCTTATGCTGCCTTCAGGAGTACCCGTGACGCTGTCACTAGCTGGCCGGCAAGACACAAAGAGGCTGAGGTTCTCGAAATCGTCGTCGCCGAATCTGTTCTCACCATCCACCTTCTGCTCCTTCGCTGGGTTGTAGGGCTTTAGGAAGGAGGAATACACGTAGCCTTTCACAACTGGCAGAAGGAAAAAAAAGAAAGCACCAGGGTTACACGTTGACCTTCCCTGAACACGCAGAGACCCCTGGGAAAAATCTCAACCTGAAGAGCGGTGGTAGGTCTGTGGGAAAAGAAACTTACATCCTGTGTCAACAAACCACCTGCTTGTACTCCCCAGGGGATCCTTCTGTTCCAGGACGGCTACCAACTCTCCTTCTAGAAGATTGATGTCGTGCTCCTGGGTGGCATTGCACTTGCGTTTAGCTCGGTAGAGTTCCTCTGCTCCGTATGTGGACAAAAGTTTGGAGCGGTGATCGTCAGTTTGATGTGGCACTTCTGGCTGGGAAAAGGAAGACGTTCTGATTCAGGTGAACATACAGTGAAATCATCAGTGAGTTTTCTTCTGGAAGATTATTTCTCAATATAAGTTATATGCTACTCTGGATTTATTAAAAGGCAGATGCTCGGGTCAGCTGAATTTTCGGTTAAAAAAAAATCTCAAGTAGGCACATGAGGGCAGTGTTGTAGAAAAGAAAGAAAATACAACCAGGGCTAAGAACGCAGAGGCTCTGGCTCAGATCATAAAAGCAGCCCTCTGAAGTCTCATGACCTGGTTTCCATCATCTGAACCCACATAGTGGAAGGAGAGAACCCATTCCCATAATGGGGACCTCCAAATGTATTCCTCTGTTTATCTGTGTGTGCAACATACATACAGACAGACAGACATACACACACACTACACACACAGGAAAAGTAAATAAAATTGTAAATTATAAAACAGGTTTAAAGAAGGCAGAGGTTCTAATGATTCCTGACTGTTGATATTTTACTATTTTCTATTTACATTCTTGCATAGTAAATACTTTTTAATTTTAATTCGTAAATTGCCTATATGCATTTTCCCCCTAGGTAAACGAGGCAGGAGTTGCAAAAAGACACTTTCCAAAGCCTGGCCCTAAGAGAGCTGGAGAAAGCCACTATATCTCTGGGGGCTGGAAATTAAAAACGAGGGGCTGTACTGGATAATTTCTCTCTTTAAAATCCCGGTCAACAAAATCTGAGAGTCCACTGTGCATCCAGCATGTGTTTCAGCATGTTAAGAAATTATCATGAGTGAAACAGAAACAAACACCACACGCTTATGGAGTTTATTATAGAAGAGATAGAAACAGGGAATAAAACTTAACTAGCATTATTTGGATGAAGCCATTGGTATGAGAAAGAATCCGCTATGATTTGGAGGAAGGAAAGAGATGCTGTCGGCACTGGCGCAGAAAAGGCTAAACTCACCAGACTCTGAGCAGTTTTCTTCTTTTCAAAGCTAAGTTTCCTCTCAATGAAGGTGGCACTGTTGTCCTTTACAAAACTCAGGTTTTGAACCTCTTCTAGCACTCGATTTTGAATCTCAGAGATGCTCAAGACCGGCAGGGGCACCTGTAGGAGAAACAGTGCGGTGTTTTCAGACACGCAATCACACTGGGCCTTGACTCTGCCAGGGTCGTGGTGACAACGGGCATGGAAGACAGTGCCACAGAGGAAAAATCTAGGCAACTTGAGAGCTTCTATAAAGATCTGAAGCCACACAACATGGCATGGATACTTTCCCTTCTTACGTTTCAAGAAGAAAGACCCAGGAGTAGAGTTCAGAAGATGTGGAGTTAGCAGCCCCACAGGAGGGACAGCAGGAGTATGCAGGGAATGAGGCTACCATAAGAAGCATGTTTAGGCATGTACGTGTGTTTGCCTTATATGTTTAGCAATTATGGAAGCTGGAAGCTAGGAATGGGCAGTTGCTGGGGACGTGCGTATACAGACGGGAGTAGTAGAATATATGTGAAATGAAAGTAGAGAGGGGGTTTCCTGGGGGCCCAGGCAGAAGGGGTCGAGCAGGTCAGAAAAAGACTTAAACATAATGCAGAAACAATTTGGCGCCTATGCTCTTTCAAACCACATAAAAATATAATAGGACATAGAACATATGTGAATTGGGCCCAGGGGAGAATATTGGGATCTAAAGGTTTTAGCAGGAATAGGATAGGTAGGCGTGTAGGGGATGAGGATGTGTTAACTAAAACTAAGGGCATATGAAGAAACCTTATTAAGCCCACTAGTTTGTAAGTAAATTGAAAATATAGTTTTTTTAAAAAAATAAATTTAAACCATAGTTTCTCTCATATCAGTGAATGATGCTGCTCCCAGAAGACATGAGTCACAAAATAAAAATCTCAGAGCCAGGCATGGACTCCTCCCTTTGAGTTCTTGGGCAGAGAGACCCCAGAGGCACCCAGGACAATACAGACTGTTGCTGCTCTTCTGTGTTCCTCCACAGGGAGGTGGCAAGGCTGTATTACTCAAGGTATCATGCACTTTGGTTGCGGGACCCAAAGAAATAAATCTTGAACTGACCAGGAAACTCTTCTTGATGGCTAGCTTTTGTCTTAGCTAGGATTTCCACTGCTGTGAAGAGACACCGTGACGATGGCAACTCTTAGAAAGGAAACCATTTTCGGGCCGGCTTACACTTCAGACGCTTAGTCTGCTATCATCATAGTCTTTAAAACTATACGATTCAAAGTGCAGAAGGACATCTGAATGACTTTCTACTTAAACAACAACACACCAGGGCCACACGTGTACACTCTGAAGGAGGAGTGAAATTGAGGTGGCCAAGGGGTAGCGCTCTGCTCACCGGCTTGACTGTGGAATAAGCCTGCAGAGCCACCAGCATCAAGTCCCGGAGGAGGGTGATGAAGCTACACAGGCAGTTCAACAGGATCTTCCTGGCGGCCTGGTTGAACGCCTGGAGCTCTTCCACAAGCTGGGCATTGAGGGCCTCATACTCTCTTTTGGCCAAGTCTGATTCGTCGGCTGCTGACCGCGGCAGGGAGCTATTGCAGTCAAGTAGTTTGTCATAGCGCTTTTGGATGAGCTTCTGAGGCCCTGGGAATAAGGACAGCAAGGCTGACAGGGGGCTCAAGATGAGTCTCTGAGAGCGAGCTACCTGCAAAAGAAAAATATGGAAAATACAGGCACATTACCAAGAGAATGGCTCACTTCATATCCAATGATGCTCTCAGTAGGCCTATCTCCTTCTCTCTTCTGAAGCTCAAAGGGACAGGACAGCACCCAGTCATTTGCAAAGAGAATCTCATATGGGGGGGGGGCTGCCTAAGCTTCTTTATTCATGCTTAAAGTAGCAACATTGAACCTGAAGATGAGCGAGAAGAGTAAGTCTTCTCATACGGATCACAACTCTTCTGCCTACAGACGCCTCCTTCCGGACCCCCCCCTCTCGCTCCCTTCTAATCCCAGAGCCAAGCTGAGTTATCAAGCTGCGTCAAGGTTGGGAGGAGCTGACGTCAGTGTGTGGCTACAATTGACCAACTCACCACTTCACCTCTTGCTGTCAGCAAAATGGGCACAAGTATTCTGAGGAGACTCTTATATCCCTTCGCATCAGCTCCGAATCTGTTTTTTATCTCTAGGTTTGTTTTTGGATGGAATTGTATTCCCCAAGCAAGCATTGGTTCTTTAAATGTATATCTTATGCCTGTGACAGAAATGACCAGAGCTAAACACTTAAATACACCTAAGGCTTGAGGGCAGCTGACTTGGTTTCTGAAACGGCTGCATTTTCAGCTCTGAGACATTAAAGAAAAACCTTATTGCATTAGTGCCCGACCGCATGTCAGCACTCAAGAATCCTAGATTTTATTTCTTCTCTTCTTATGTTTTTCTCTGTGTTCTGAATTGCAATTTTATCCCATGTCTGATGACCACCCTGCCTTACACTTTATCACACATGTTGTAGGAATCTGGAAGTAGTTTTATCATTTGTGACCTCAAAGATATTCCAGGAAATTGAAGCAACGGCCTGTATTAATTAATGTAAATGATTCTGCTAACTCTGTCTGAACTCACGGGAAATCTGAAAGAGGGAACCTCATCTGTTAGTGGCACCAGCAATAACCAACACAAATTAGATTTGATTTTTAGTTTATGAAATAATCAATAGATACTAGCCCACCACTTAATGAGCCCCTGGACTAGGCAACAGATGCATTTACTGTATCTGGGATAAGTCACTGTGTTTATTACTTGCCTGGGAGCCACAGTTTGCTAATTTGATGATTATGATTATAATGTATGTCCAATGCCCATAGATATGAACTTTATTTGCCAGAGGGACAGTAGTTGGAACAGATAAGCAGGTTGTATTTTAGAATTTTGTGCTACACAGTATTTGTAGAAAAGGATCATTTATGGCTGGATAGGAATAACTTCCCTGCCTTGGGGTAAACTTTTGAGTTAATATTTCTGTTTCAAAGAGTTCAGTATGCCACTTTTCTACCATACGTTCTGGTGATTTGTTTAACTTAGCAGATGTAATATTATTTTTTCAGGGCAGACAGGACAATTTCTTCCTTCTTTCTGTCAAACTGTGGAGCATGCTTGCTAAGGGAGAAGCTACGGAGTATGTGCTCATACGATTTTGATAAATACTTATCAACTTAGTGAACTGAAATTGAGCAAACTCTAAATTGTTTTTCTAAAATGTCCTTCCTATGATTGAACCCTGAAAAAAACTCCCCAAGACCTAGTCACGTTTTCCCAATAAACCCATGGGTATAAAAACCTTTGTCTATTAATCTACCTATACATCCATCTGTCCATTCCTGAGTAACTTATGCTCTATCACTTTATTTTGGATAGTATGATATTTAGTCTTCTTACATTTTATTTATTTTTTTTACTTATTTTGTGTTCCTGCTAGAGAACATTATTTATTGTTAGAGAGTGCAAGTAGAGGTCTGAAGAAGTAGGAGTTGGTTCTTTCTGCCACATGGATCCTTAGGATCAAACCAGGATTCGGGGTTGTTACTAAGCACCTTTACCCACTGAGGCACCCCCCAGGCCTTTTAAAATAGTACAGTAATTTTCTTTTATTTTTATACATGATAATGGTAAGTTTTGATTGTTAACTTGACAGGATTTAGAACTGCCCAGGAGACCAACTTCTGGGTATGTTCATGAGGATTTGGGCACTTACCTTTAATTCCAGTTCTTGGCCAACAAAAAAAGGCTGTGCTCTGTTACATTAAAGGCCAGCCTGGTCTGCATTGCAAGTACACATCTATTTATCAAAAGGATGTAATCTCAACATTCTGTGTTATGATGCCAAAACCAGCTTATTCAGTAGTTTTGCAGTAGGATGCAGACATCCTAAGGTTTGGAAATATTTGCGAGCTCATTAGTTGAAGATTATTTTGAGGTGGAGGTGTTGCTGAGATTTTGAGCCTCATGGGCTAGGACTGCTAGAATCATCCAACACAAGATCTAGTTGGAGAGGACAGTCTGGGCCTAATTCTGACACAGCCAATACAGAAATACGGCCTATTATGCTTTCTCCAAAATATATTAAATAGTGTTATGAAATAATAACATAAGACACTAAACTGAAATTAGCATTGCCCAGAAAAGCTTACCACTTAAACTTTAGTCAAGAATGTTTTTATGCTCCCCAACATATATTTTATAGAACTCTTAAAAACAAATAGTCAATGAAGGAATATAGCACACTGGCAGAGTGCTTGCCTAGCATGTGTGAGTTTCTAAGTTCATCTCCCAGAGCTAGGAAGGAAGGAAGGAAGGAAGGAAGGAAGGAAGGAAGGAAGGAAGGAAGGAAGGAAAAGAATCTATCATGTGTAGAAAGACTATCTGACAGTTAAGTGTGTCTTTTTTCAATGGGAAGGCTTTGATGTCCAGTGCACACTGTGCTAAAAATCACAGACAGGGAGAATCTGTTCTCCTTCAGTAGCTGCTCAAGGATTTCCATCGACTCCTTTAAGTCACAGCTTGCTGAGGCAGTGGTGGTGCAAACCTTTAACTCCCAGCACTCAAAGGCAGAGGCAGGAAGATCTCTGTGAGTTCAAGGCTATCCTAGTTGGCAGAGTGAATTCCAGGACATCCAGGGCTGTATGCAGAGAAACTCTGCCTCAAAAACAAAGCGACATAAAACAAACAAATAAAAATCAAAAATCCATAGCTTTACAAACTAATATATTATTAATATCTCATACATAGACTTACACTGAACATTGTTCAAGTATCTGTTTCTTCAGACACTGACTACCCCAGAAACAGAGTATGAGATTGTGTTAAATTTTCATTATAGTACAATCCTCACTAATTGTACCACTCTAAACATAGGTAATTATTTAAAAACTCCTGTCTCAAAAAGTCCAATTTTGAGACTAGCTTTTGATTTAGTGAATATTTTGTACTAACTGTAGTGTGTGTGTGTGTGTGTGTGTGTGTGTGTGTGTGTGAGAGAGAGAGAGAGAGAGAGAGAGAGAGAGAGAGAGAGAGAGAGAATCCAGCTTTTAAACGACTGCCGTTTAGTTTGTATTTGTCTGTGTGTGTAACTTACAAAGTCTTGGCAGGGATTGGAAGCGTGGTTTTGGGGTTCCCCGCAGTTCGTCTCTCCATCCTTGTATGAGATCTCACGGAGTTCTGCCACACTCTGCGGAGGGAAGGGCATGGCCTGCTGAGACATATGATGGAAAGGGTGAGTTCTGAATGAAGTCAGCACTTTAACGTCTCCCCAGTGTGAGCTTCATCCTCGCGATGCTAAATTTCCCTGAGAGATAGAGAACATTCTGTATAATGACCATGGATGCCATCCAGTCAGGCTGCTTGCAGCCCTTGATTCCCTTCCCCTCCTCCCATCATTTCTGACAGGTTCTTGCTCTCTTGGAGTAGGAGGAGCCCATCTTAAAATTTCCTCAGCCCTTCCTCAGCCTTCAATTCTTCAGATTCTTTATTTTAAAAAGAACTCCTCTTTGATTTGATCAGCAGCTTTTCTTGGTAAATTTAATCTTATCTTTGAGGGGTAAAAAAGGCGCTCACATTTTTGTGGATTCAATCAGTGAAAACACCTGTGCATGTGCCTCGCGGCGCTCATTCCTTGGGCAGTACCTGCAGGGCTGCCATGTTCCACTGCTGTGTCCACTGCAGCCGTGTCTGGGGGCTGACTTCGCAGAGATTTGCTAACCCCATTGTGCAATGGACTCTGGGTGTGACTGTAAGGATGCATGGTCCTCATCCATCCAGAATGTGGAACCCTGTCTCCAAAGCAGTGTGCTGGGCACGTCAATTCTCTGCTGGTAGAATGTTTTGTCTAACTGTGCAAGCTCTTGGCTCTAAAACCAGATACTCAAGGGGAGAACTTCTGGGCTCATTAACTGATTTCCATGTACCTGCTAACTTCCTATCCTTCAAGTCAGAGCTGCTGTCAAGTTGTTTTCAAGGACACCGTGTCCTCCGGAAGATCCATTACAAGAAACCCTCGGCCAGCTTTTCCAACAAGTATAATTGTTCAGTTTTCCGTCTTAGGGGCTTTTAAAAGCAGAGATGCTCAAGTAGGTCGGGACAACCTCCCAAGAGGCTAGAAATATGGAGGGTGTTTTTGTGCTCTACTTCAATTGCACAACAACATTTACTTGCCATGGTTTGTGTTGTTCTCTAGTTCAATTTGTTTTCCTTTGTATGGGATTTTATCCTGATTTTATCAACTACAAAGAATTATATTGGTAAAATCAGACAACATAGTGCCTGCCTCACATACAATCTAGTGCTCACAAACTCATTTTTATTATGAAGAAGAAACTATGGGGGTTTATATTGTATGCATCTGAACAAAAGTCCACCAATACAGTGATTCAGACTGGGACAGGCTGGAGCAGGAAGCGGGCACAGACCAAGCCTTTATATGGCTTGACATATCAGATCTTTGCAGCAGCACCCCAAGTTTGATACAGTTTAGTTCAGCACACAAATGAAGAGTCACATTTCCTCACACCACCCATGGGGACTGGCGTCCTCCTGAAGCAGCATTCGCGGCTCACCCACCTCTATGTGCTGAAGGCAGGAAGAGATGTGCTTCACACAAAGCCTCAGAGTCTTCTCTAGTGACCTAAAAAGCTTTTCTTCCCTGTTAAAGGTGTTGTCTTTCACCTAAAACACACGAGAGATTACTTAGTTTCACGACTCAAATGCATTTACTATTTTTAAAATGGTACAAAATAAATACAAAGTTAAAGATGGCACAGACCACATTGACCCAGGACATGATAAAAAAAAAATCCTTTGCTGTATGAAAATATTCTGTGGTATGCTGACTTATATAACAAAACTTTCTGGATCCATATGTAGCACAAACTAATGTCCAAACAGTGTTGTAAGTCATATCATGAAGTTTGATTTGTTGTTTATTTTGTACCTTCTCATCCATGCCACAGCAGTCATCGGACTGCAAACTCCCCCTTTCGCCTCCTCCTCCTCCTCCTTCTCCTCTCCCTCCCTCCCTCACTCTCTCTCTCTCTCTCTCTCTCTCTCTCTCTCTCTCTCTCTCTCTCTCTCTCTCTCTCTCTGTACTCATGCATTAGGGGTGGGTCACATATCCATCCCTTCAAAAGAGGACATCAGGTGTCCTTCCAAGGCAGAGCTGAAACACTAGATTAAGTTGGAGGTATGGCTGCCCTGCCAGATGCTTCATTTCCCACACTCCTTTGCAGCTAGCTCTGCCTATGTAGCCGGATTTGAACAAATACAGTATGAAGGAAGTGTTGTGTTTCGTGTCTAAGTCTTGGCCTTGTGGCACCGTCTGTGGGGCTTGGAGGGAGACACAGTAAGGACCTCGTTTCAATTAACTGAAGACAGTATGGTTAAGGAAAATGCCATATGAAATTTGGCAAACTGGGTTCCTGGAAGAGTTTTTTGAAGCAGAGCCCATCTGCCCACATCTCAGGATTATTATCAGAGATAGAATAAGTGGTTACCTGACTAGTATCCTATGTTCTATTTGCTATGGTATTTTTTTTTTGCTATGTTAGGCTGTGCAGTCCTGTGTTATGCTGTGCTGTGCTTGAGGATCTCTTTTTGACAGATACATTGTCTTTGCCTTAAAGTAGCAAGCCAGAGAAACATATTTATAGATATGATCAGGATTAAAAACCAGGCAGCCTGAATTCTAGATCTATACCTGTTCATCTTTGTATTTCCAATCTCTCACACAGTGCCCAGTACACGGAAGTTCAATACATATAAGATGGATTGAATAGAATCTTCCTCCCGGGTAATAGCTTTACACCCTAACTCGACCAATATTTCACCTGAGCTGCTGACAGGTGCAAAATTGATTGATTTGAGATTTATCTCTTCTCCAGTTCAGCCTATGCAGCTGATTTTCTGATTAACAGTGAAATGCTTCATTGCTGACAGGACATCCTCTATGAAGATTAAGAGGAAAAATCTAATTAATATCCCTTCATGCTATTTTAGCTACAATTCACTTTTAGTTCACAGTTTAAAAAAAAGCTTCTGATAAATATGCGAAAGAATATAATGGTCTCCACAAAAGTCTGCCCCACATTAGAAGCTGCCTGCTCTATTCAATAGAATTGTCTTGAGTAAGAGGCAAAATCGCAAAGCATGGAAGAGAATTTCTGCACACATTTATGAATGCCTACAGGGGGCTACTGTCTCCTTGAGCTCATTTTCAAATTTGATTTTATTACTGTTGTCTTTAGTTGAAATGACCCAATTATCTATTTCCTGAGCAGTCACCATGTGCTATTAATTTCCCAAACTTCTCACAAGATAGCTGCATATGAAGCCTTTTTTTTTTTTTTTTTTTTTTTTTTTTTTTTTTTTTTTTTTTTGGTGATGGACCTGGCGAATCCCTGGAAAATTATGAGGAAATAAATACAATGATGGTAACAACTATGTACCCCACAAGTAGCAAAGTCACTGAAGCCACAAAGAAAATGAGAAGAAAAAGATGACAATATTACACCAGCGAGGATGAATTTTCTCCTTTCACCAGATCATGAATTTTCTTTCATTCTTAATATATGTACTACTGATCACTTACTTCAGATTCATTAACCCCAAAACTCCTGGGTTGTCTATATAAATATAGGGTTCTAGTTTGCACCATTGAGATAGGTGGAACTCTAGGACCTGTCTTTTGAAATTAGCTCATGCAATTTTCCTTAAGCAGATTAAAATTTAGAAGTCTTTGAAAATCCAGCTATTTATAAGAGGCTGGGCTTTGATGTGGGATGCCCTTCTGTTTATGTGTTGTTGTTGTTTGATGAATAAAACTGTGTTGGCCAATGGCTTAGCAAAGTAAAGATAGGAGGAAAATCTGAACAGAGATATATATAGAGAGAGTAGGCGGGGTTAAGGAGATGCCACGTAGCCGCTGACAGAGAAAGACGCCCCACCAGACCTTTCCATTAAGCCCCAGCCTCGTGGCAACACACAGATGAATAGAAATGGGCTAATCAAGATGTAAAAGCTAGCTACAAATATGCCTGAGTCATTGACCAAACAGTGTTGTAATTAATGCAGTTTTTGCGTGATTATTTGGGTCTGAGTAGCTCGGAAATGAAAGAGCAGTTTCTGCCTGCAGGGATTTATGTGCAAGCCATGTTAAACAGCTGAGTAAGGATCACTAAGGACCAGTCTTCCAGTATTATAATGTGCATCTAGGGCGTGTCCAGGAAGAGAAGGGGGCGGGGCAAGAACACCAAAACCATCACAATGAATTGTGCATATAAAAAACACCACTTTGTTTTTAGATGAAATAAAGAGAATCCCAGAGGCACAGAAAAACTTTAAAGCAGAAATAAAACAGAGATGGGGGAAGAGGTGGCCTTGAAGAGAGAGAGAGAGATTGTGAGCCTCTGACATCAGGTCTCCTGTGGCTTTGTCATAGCCTGTCCTGCGTTCTCATCTCTCTCTGCCTTCCCCGTGGAAACTGAGGTAGTGCTGAAACCACCAGACCCCCTCCCCCAAAGGAAGAGCTTGGGGCACTACCTTGATTCTGTGTTCTAGACATAGTCACAAAAAGAGCAAAGCCAAGGCCCCCACGAGTGGCAGTGTTAATGATCCCTGAGGAAACGTAGGTGGTCCAAGAAGAAAAATTACCTGTGACTCTCCTCTGGTCAGGATCTTGAGATGATTTGTGACTCTTTTTGACTTCTTGCTGATTGAATGAATATTCAGTTTAGATAGTTTGTCTTTGAGTGATTCGTCCTCGTCATTCTTCTTATATTTCAGAACTGAAAGGGAAGAACGCAGGGATACATCCGAGTGTGTGCAGCCAGATTCCACACTCCCCTAGAGTTTTTCAGGCCAATATTTATATTGAGGACAGGACTTAACCCTTTTCTGCAGGGGCCATTACCCCATTACCCCATTATCCTATTACCCCATTGTCTAGTCTGTCCAAAGTACCTCACCCAGTGATTTTCAGAAAGTCAGCTATTCAAGGACATGGCTACTCAAACCTACTCAAGGTCGGGTTAATTTACTTCTCATATTAAAGAAATGCCTGGATGAGGGAAGAGGTTGAATTTTACCCTCTGTACAAGAGAGGGAAGAAAAGAAAATTCCTTGTACTAGAAGAAAAGAAAGCATCCACTCTGTGATGGTGGGTATTATCAGGGAGTCTCTGGAAAAGGGAATCAGGTCCAAACCAATGAAAAGACAGCTGAACCTATCACACATAAGCCTCAAATCCTAGGTTTGCTTTTCAAGCACTCTGTGATTTGGGGCCAGGTGAGAATCACTCTGAGTTTTACCTCTCTTTGAAATAACTGTTAGCCCAGGTTTTATTCCAAATGTTTGATACAGTCACTGTTGGGAAGGGCGTAGTTCAGTCATAGGCACTGTTGATGAGGGTGCAGACAATGGTGCATGTTGAGTTAGACAAGATGAAGTATTTACTGTTTCAAGCTTGTCAGGAATGGTACTGTACCGAACATAGAAAACTCAAGACTGAGCCAAGTATAGCGGCACACGCCTGCAATCCAGACATTTGGAATGTGGAGTAAGGAGGATTATTTCAGGCCAGCCTCATCTATGTAATGAGTTTGAATCTAGCCTGAGCTACATGAAATCATGCTTCTTAAAATAAAACATCTTTCAAAACATTTTTGTTATTAAACCAGTTGATACAGCATTTTATGTCATTGCTTTTTAATCTTCTCATCATATCACAGAGCATTACATAGTTTATTATTTATTACTGGATCATTAAAACAATTTTTGATCAGTTTCCTACTTTTTGTCCAAGATCACGTATAGTAGTGTTTTGACTAGTACTGGCTAGTGACGCCCGTTTTCTGGCTCGCGAATTGAGCATATCACATCATTGTGATTTTAATTTTCATCCCCCCAGTTACTAGCAAAGCTTCCTGGGAATTGTTCTTTTTATTGACTTTTTACTAGAATATTCTTATTACTAAAATAATTATAACAATAATACATTCTAGGCAGCCATCCTATGTGTGCAGTCTTTTCATTTTTCTTGTGTTATCTTTTACTCGATTGCTTTGGTATTCTGTTCTTTACTGTTTTAATTTGCCAAAACAAATATTTTGCTTTTTACTTATTGGAAAACAAAACCAATCAAAGAAAATGAACTCATTGCACTATTTATTTTTAAATTCCTGCCATTATTTAAGCGTTGAGTTCAAGTCATATTAGAAACACAAACTTAGATAAGAGCTCTTTGTAACACTAATACCATGAGAAGATGAAGGCCTGTTATTCCTGGGACATAGGGTCTATAGAATTAGCACTCCTATATTATAACCTACACTTGACATTAGGTATTAATTGCAATATCTTAGCTTAAAACAGTTAAGAATCATTTGTTAATCATAGAAACAAATAACTCTGTGCCCCTGTGACCCCCAATCTTCATTCCTGTGTTTCAGGATCAAATGAGTCTAAAGTCCCAGATAGAACCCTTCACATGGACCTGTACCCTGACCAGCCCATTTCTGGGCTAGCCTCCCAGAGCTGCAGATCCCAGGCTTTATTCCCTCCTTACTCTACAGACATTGAGCGGCAGGAGGATGGTCTGTCCATATTGTACCACCGAGAAAACAGTGGTCAGCGGCGAGTGAACACTTGAACTCACCCGTTGGATTTGTTTTTTTTTAATGACGAGTTTTGTATATATTTTATGGTCTTTTTTTCTCCTAGCTATTCAGGTAAACTTGTATGTTCCTCGTGTCCTCTGACTGTAGATTTCAAACCATCATGTTCACTATGACTGCTGCGTAACTGGGACACTGTGACTGTCACACACAGATGGAACCCTCCAATCCTGGGGACCAATCAGTCTGTCATGCATTTACCTACCTAGGTCTTTCCTTCTTTTCAGCTCATTGATGTTAACGTTAATGTCCTTGACAGCAGCGAAGGCTTCCTCCAGGGCTCTGTAGTCAGGGTGGGAGGGAGGTGTTGAGTTCCGAAGTTCACAAAGTAACAGGGGGTATTTCATCACGCGCTGAATAGGTTTGATCATCAAAGAGCCCATGTCCAGCAAGTTTGGTTTGCCTCTACGACAGACATCATGATACCCATTTTACATTCATTTACTAACTTTGTTTCTCATTTTCTGATTTAAAGAAAAATAATTGCTCCTAAAACAGTTTTGCTCCCTTGAACTATATAAAATTTTCCAAATGGAAACAAGAGCTGAAAAAAAAAAAAGGCAAAAAGAAGCAAGGCTGAAAGACCCCACTAACTAAACAAAAACCTAAAAGAAAACATACAGGTTTATACCAAACAGCACCCAAGTTTAGCTTTACTTTCAGGTCAGTATATACACAAGGCTTTAATCCCAGTTTCAGAACGTGTCTTCCCATGACAACCAAGTAAAATGGAATTCCCCCATGGTGTTTTTGTTATTACTAGTGAGCAATATAAATTCATTATATAAATTCACATTCAAATATGTAACTGGAAGAACACTGTCAAAACTCAACACTGTCCTCTTTTCTAACAAGCTGAAAAGCTGCTCACGCAGGGGTCCTGCCACAGACTCCAGAAGAAATTTGTAACAAAGGAAATGACCCAAACTTCCCTAATTGCCACACACGTGATGGCTTCCTCAGCCCTTTTCCCTTTCTCACAGGTGAGATGTCACCAACAGCTCTTTGTATCAATCAGAACACACGCGTGGCACTTCCATATGTGCTTCTGAGACAGAGTGTGAGCCTTCCCACTGGCCTGGCTTGTGTAGGAGAAAGAAGCCCCAAGTTCTGTCAAGTCGCCATCCAAACTACTGTCACTGACCAGCAGTGGCTTCTAAAAATCAATCCAGGAAATGGTAAATTATAGACAGAAAGTGATGACATTGTTTAAATCCCAACAGATGGGTTTTTTATACCCATACTTTAACATAATTTGAAAAAAGAGAAGTAAAAATGTTAAAAAATGGTCTAGTGGCATCTTAGAAACCATCTAGTTCAATTCTTCATTTGACAAATGAGAAACCAATTGTCATGTGTACATGCACATACACCCATACACAACATGTGCACTCACACACACACCAATCTTTATTCCATCTATCTCCCTGTTTTGTGTTCATCTCCCCTAGAACTGTCTGTAATCATTTCATTTCCCAATTTCCCAGTTTGTGACCAATTTCTCTGTCACCACTGCATCTCTCACCCTGATCACATTTTATCAGTGCACATATTTAGGCTGAAAAATCACCGAGTTTTCAGGCTTTCTGTCATGGTCTTTTATTTTCTATTGAAAATCCCCTCTCCCCAAATTTCAAAATGGATAAACAAATAAATGACTACGGGCAGAGTTTACTTATATCTTGAAAAGCATTACACTGACCTGACAGATAAAAAAACGAAACCAACGGAAACATTTATTAAAGGAAAACTAGAGCGAACGCTACATGTTTGTAATAAAGAAATAGAAAGATAAAGGCAAAGAGAGAGAAGGATCAAGAGACAGAAAGAGAGCTCAGGAATGGGAGGAAGGAGACATTGTCGGGTTCCAGGAGAACTGAATGGAGCAGATGAGAAATGATCAATTATATTGAAAACCCAACTAAAAGCATTTTGATTGATGGGATGCCAGAAGCTGGCAGCATTTTTTTAATGTCTCAAAGCAGGGATTATGCCTTAATGATAGTTTATACTCCTATGGAGACAATCCAATGGGACAAGCAAGAAGTCAGGAACGACATCTAAGTGACTATAGTCACAATTTCTAGTGAGTTTATTCTTTGATTACCACCAAACATTAATTCAATCATTCAAAAGCTACTGAAAATACCTTCCAAAGTAAGTAGTCAAATACTTAAAAAAAAAAGCTGGTAGATCATTTATTTTGAGTCATCTCTGTGTATATGTATATATGCAAGTTTTTAAAACCAGAACAACAACAAAAAACCCTCAAAAAACAAAGAGCGAAAAGCACAGACGTGTTAACCGGCGCAGCTGCTTCTGTGAGCTGCCCTTCTTCCTCCTGTATCTAGATAGTCACACGCCAATCAGGTCCGTGATTGAGTTCAGGTGTTATCACTACTTCTTTTTTCTATCAGTCTTTAGCACCAATCTTCTAGCGCCTCTATTTTACGATTCAAGTGATGATTAGAAATGATTATTGTTTTTTAGAAAACCATCATAAATGCAAATCTGAGAAATGACTGACACAAGGAGAGATTTCCCAGGTACTCTTGTCTTCAGATATAGTTATTTTCAGTTGCCCAGGCAACGATCAATAGTGTCCTGGTATCTGCACCAGACAGACTCCACCTTGGGAGACACGTTAGAGGATGTGTTGTAAGATAACAGCACGCCAGGCACTCGACGTCACAAAGTTCGCTGCCGCGTCTAATCCCTCCCAGGGAGATTGCCTTTTGATAATGGTGAAGGCAGAAGAGTCCCGTGCCAGCCACTTGTCACCTGCTGCCCATAGTAAGGAACCCAGTGTGTAACAGTGCTCCACAGTATTGTACAGAAACTGGACGCCATGACTAACATATAGCACTGTTTCGGCTTCCTCTTGAATCACAATTTTTTTGGCAAGTGTTTAGAGCCAGACCCAGCTACATTAATCTCATCACACACTATTACCGGGGCTTTACCAGGTCAAGGAAACACAGTTAGCTTTGCTTTAGTGCTATCTAGTTTTGCTGCAAGGCTTTTTCAATAAAATGGAGGAAAAGTAATATTTAGACAATGTAAAATCTATGGTAGAAAACAGGAAAAATATTCCATATGAAATATGCCTGTATGTTCTAATCAGAGGGAGAATAGAGGGAAAAATACAATTGATGACCAGCTATAATTTTTTGAATTTCTTCTATTTTATGGCCATAAGTATACTAAATTTTATATTTATTTTATAGTATCCATAAAATGGTCCTTTAAAAATTTAATCTCTTTATGGAACTTTTAAGTCCAATAATAAAGACCAATGTCTTTATTACATAACAAATAGCATTTGCTATAAAATATAGACCTCAAAATAAATGCACAACTATTAAGTTTTAGAAGAATAAAGGAGGAAAATGAATTATAACTCATGTAGATGAATAAAGAAGCAGTAACTATGGAAAGACCATACTTAATTATTCAGGAAAATTTACCATTAACAGCTTCTTAGCAACTAAGGAAGTAGGGATAAAAAAATGTAAGAGCTGGGGTACCGTTTGCTGGCTGCCAAAAGGGGTAAATTCACGAAACCCGAGAAAGTGGCGCCGCTCTTGGCTAGACCTACTCTGGGCACAAAGCCATCATCATGAAGAATATTGATATGGCAACTCAGACCATCCTCACAGCCATTTCTTGGTGGCTGGAATTGACCATTATCCCCAAAAAGTGACAGCTGCCACAAGCAAGAAGAAAATCGCCAAGAGGTCAAAGATCAAGTCCATTGTGAAAGATTATAAGTACGGTCACCACAGGGCCCTCTGTGGACATCCCCATGGATAAAACTATTGTCAATGGGATGTTTTAGAGGCCCAGCTCTGACACACAAGGCCAGGCGCAAAGCCAACTTCAAGTGTGAGGAACAACACACGACAGGGAAGAACAAATCCATCCAAGGCAGGGAAGAACAAACAGTTTTCCAAAAGCTTCACTTTTAGGTATATTTTACTTTCATCATTAAAATAAATAAATTTAGAAAATAAAATGAATGTTAAGCGGTACAAACCTAGCAGGGCAGCTCTATGTATGAAGCTCGTGGTAACTGCGACTGCGTGCACAAGCCCTGTGCAAGCTCGACAGACTAGACAGGAAGTCCCACCCTTAGCCAAGGAGAGATTGACAAGTGATAGGTACTGGAGAGGAAGCGTCGGTATTCTTTTAAAAATGTTGCCTCTGGAAAGCCACACACCCAGGAGGACAGGGGCAGCACAAATTGCACTTGGTGGGTAGAAAAAGAAGACAGGAAGTTGAGTGGAGGGGGAAGTGGAATTGGGAGGATCTGGGGGAGGGGGTGAATATGATCAGCATGTATTGTATGAAATTCTCAAAGAACGAATTAAACTAAAAATTAAAAATCTTTAAAAATGAAGTACTTACTCTTGCATATATATATTCCTGTGAAAGAATGAGAAAAAGTAAATTAATACTAATTCACACACATGGGATAATATACAACATTTCAAATATTTTCAATTTTCAAATAAAGTGGTATGTGAGTTTCATGATTGCCCCATGGAATCAAGTGTCTCTAATTAGAAATGTGTTCTAAAATGACACTTTAATATAGCTACTGTTCTTAATACCACATAAAAGTTCAAACTAGTGATTTCGTTAATATATTTTAACAATTTAAAAATATACTGAAATTCATTTAAGTTTACATTTTGGAAGAAATACATCGAATGCAATCAAAGTAATGCTTAAACTAACTCATATAATAATGTTATTAAATATTCTATAATCTCTCTATGTAGTTGCAGGAAGATAATTTTTTAGAAAGGATCTCACCTGGTATCCTCAGCTAACCTTAAACCTACACAGACACGGTTGACCTCAAACTGACAATCTTCCTGCATCAGCCACGCTAGAGCTGGGATTAAAGTATCCCCCACTGCGGTTGGTTTACGCATAGTATTGACAGGTCAACAAGAATTCTCAGACAGCCTTCATGCAGGCCTTGCTAGCTTTGGTGGCTGCTGTTTGCTTCTGTAGAACAAGTGCTTCCATGGAAAAGCGCATGGTCTGTGTCTCCTTTTACATCTCCCTGCCCAATTTCCTAGTGCTCATTTCTCCCAGGGTGCTATGGCAACCGCAGACTTCTGGCTCCTAGTAAAGTCAGGCAGGCATGCAGCAGCCTCCAGGAATTTGAGCCTACCATTTCTTCTGTGCAGAGTGCTCTCCCTCTAGATCCCTATATATCTCACTCCTTCCTCCCTTTCAGGCCTTTGCTCAGATGTCCCTTCCTTGAAAAGCCTTCCCCATCACCCTTTGCAAATATCACCCTGCTTCGCAGCATCCTGCCTCTCCCTAGTCCCTGCTTTTCCTTCTCTTCCTAAGAGTTGCTAATGTTCCGTACTATATACCACACTTCTTTCGTGTGTGGCTGGTCTCTCCAACTCAAGCAAGGGTAGGTTACACGATTTGTTTATTTCTATGACACCAATCTAAAAAGGGACTGGTAAGGGTTAGGGGCTCGAAGCATGTATCAAACTAACTAGTCATGAAAAACAATGAAAATTAGTCAACACAAATTTAAGACACAAAAGAGATGGAAGTTTCCTCCTAAATGTGACTTATATCAATTATAAAATAACACAATAGTTTTTATTATATGACTCATTGCCTCTCTTTGCTTTTCAATCTTTTTTAATTCAATGAATATTTATAATATAAAAATCACATGGCTATGTTTTTGTTAGTTTGTTTGAGACAATGTATTCCTGGTGATCCTGGAACTTGCTATTTAGTCCACCTTGGGCTTGAACTCATAGAGTCTCCTTCCTCTGGCTCCTGAGCTCTGGATTAAAGATATGCCATGCCTGACTTTTTTATGTTCAGTGATTGAGAGAAAAATTCAATGATAAAAGATAATGCTAAGCTGGATTGAATAAGTCAAAAATGTTCTGGTTTTCCATACATGTGCAAGTCAGGTACTTGTATGTAAAGCAACTACCTTCTCAGTCCCCAGACCTGTATGTGTAAATGGATCCCTAGACTTCTTGGAATAGCTGGATTTTGCTAAGTCCAAAACCTCCAAATGGGAATCAAAGACAAAATTACACTGCCTTTAAAATCGATACCTGTTATAAGTCTAGGAAATTATGGATTGACATTTAAAAGTTCTGTAGTGAAAGAAATTGTCTCTCTGAGGTCCCGGGATTCTATCCATTTCTTTTATGCTCACATTCTTCCAATCATTTATTTATTTCTCTAGTGGAGAATCTCATTTGTTCTAGGATTTGGTGTGTGTGTTTTTTGAAGATCATATATTATAACATTAGTAAAATATATATAAAAAATAAAACCATAATTTTCCATTGGAACATTACTTCCTAAACGAGATTGAAGGAAACCATTTTGTTTTGAAGCCCTGGAAAAGAAATAGAGCTCTTTTTTCTTTCTATTTTATTTACTTCAACAACAAAACCTAAAATTATAATAAAACTAAGCATGTGTTTAACATGATAACCACTCTCTTATAAAGGAACCTGACTTTTTTCTTATAGAGGAAGCCATACTCTGTAAGTGGGGGTGGGGGCTGCATTATAACGTCCCTTGATTTTCTCACCGCTAAAGAAGAAACATTCCTTTCCCACAATAGATTTTGAAACTTTCCAGAAGGTGATTCTAGCTGAGGACGATCTGGGAAGAAGTTAAGCAGTGTTCATTTAGCCTTTTATGGGATAAAATAATTAGCTCCCTCTCCTGCTGGGCTCATTATAATGTGACTCACAAATGAAAGGTTTTATGTGGCTATTCCTTAAATATTATAGTCTGTTTCCAAACAATGTCATACTGCAAGGACCTGAAGGAATTTCCAGAGGTGGTTTTGATTTTTACCCGGGACTCTGTTTAGAATAAAAAAAACACAAGGTGCTAGGAAACAGCCCCTTAGACAGTGCAGGGCATGAGCCTTTTGCTGCTTCTCCAAGTGAGAAAGCCACAGAGTCACGTGACCAGGCTGCCTGGATGAGTGAAAGGCAAATGCTCTTTCTCCTGAGGATGGGACCTTTGTTAGCAAAAGGATAAATACAGGTTAATTAATAACGTTAAGACATGAGGCATGGGGCTTGGAGTGCGACTCCAGTCACCAAAGCAAGCAAGCAAACAAACGAAAAACTCAGAAAAGCCCTTTTGTTTTTATTTTATTACAAAATAAACCAATCTTTTGAGGCCACTGACCTGTAAGAGACACTAGTAATATTTCTAACCGGAAAAACTGAGAGAGGAGGCCGCAGACAGGCTGTTCTAACTAGACCTATGCTTGCTGAATGCCTGTCTACCCCTTACTTCTCCACATAGTTCAGAACTCATAAATAACTCCAGAGGCTAAGCAACGAGCTCCTCCATAAACACAGATGTAGTCAGGCAATATTGCAGGCAATCCTAGAGGTCACTTGCCCCACTCAGCTAAACATTCCTGGCTGAGTAAAGAGAGCTTTGTAAATGTCCAGTTTCTAGGCTGCAGGTACGGGTGCACACTGCATTTCTGGAAAATTTCAGTTTTGAAAAAATACTTGTTCTATGTATATGAGCATTTTGCCTCCTGTATGTATGTGTAGCACGTGACTATGAATGTCAGGTGCCCAAAGAAGTCAGAAGAGGGCATCAGAGTCCTTGGCACTGGAGTTACAGATGGTTGGGAGTCACCACATAAAGGCTAGGCAACACCAGCAGGACCTCTGTAAGAGCAGCCAGCGTTGGTAAACAAGGAACCATCCTTCCCCACCCTCTGCTAAAAGTCCCTCACTTTTTAACACACATTCCTGGTATATCAGGCACTGGAGAACTGACCCACTAGGAAATACTATCCTAACACTTCAAAACGAATTGTCTGGATGCAAATATAATTTTCTCTTTTGAATGACAGTGGGCTTCAAAGAATAACCAAGGTCCCTAAGCTTGAATTATCATACAGGATGAGGTACTATCTCTGCCTTCCTGTTGGAGGTTAGTCTCGAATTAAACCTACAGAGATACCTTCTGGTGTGTTAAATGAACTTTGTATTGCTGGCAAGCTTTCCAGACAGTTTTATCTACGACTAGAGTTTTTGTTCCTGGAGGGCAAGAACCATGCTTATATATGAAAAGTATTTTCAACATTATCTAGTACTCTCAATAAATATTTATGAGGCCCTCAATAAACATATCTTAATTTTGGCTAAAATGTAACCTAAGTCGTTTTAAAATCCACTTTAGCTTCCAAGGCATGGAGCCACCTCTCGTGTGGATATTTTGCTTCAAACCAACTCATTCCAGTGTCCCTTGCACTGCTGAAAATGGAGGCCAGAGCTAACGTTCATCAGGAACGGCGGCCGCTCCTTTATTTAGCCAGTAGGAAAAGGCAGGGCGACAGTAATAGCTTTGACTGATTACTTGGCAAGGGAAACCAAGCCCCGAGGGTGTTCAGGACTCTCTCTGGCCTATAAACCTGTTTGAAAACCTGTTTCTCAGAATTTAAAGCTTGGCTCGGCTGAGGTCGCTGGTACAGTGATGTCAGTAGCGCCACTGTACTCAGCCTCCAGGCAGACCCGCGCCATTCATCATTAACTTTATTTTCATGGAATGGCAACTTCGGGGAAAATAGCTGCCGCTTAAGCTGCTTTATTTTGATTTCCTCCCCCTAAAGAAATAGTTCTGCCAATATTGTTTCATTTGGATTTTGTGCCTTTCGGTGGGCGAGATTATTTCTAAAAGTCAGAATAGTCTGAATACACAGAATTGGGCACAACATGGGACAGTATTTTTGAAGCTTAAAAAAACAAAAGAAGTCATTTAGGTCTGAAAGTAAATTTGAGATTCCACAATTACCCCTACTCTTTAGCTGCTTTGAAAGGAAATGGTATTGAGCTGGGCTGCACAGAGACTACTGTAGTGGGCTCTGTTCTCTTAGGAATCAAAATTTATTGCAGGGCACACTAATGTTTATCCTCACCCAAGGAGCTTAGAGAAGCAGTCAGGAGGACCAGGGGCCCAAACTGGCTAGCTCCATTTCCAGGTCCTTTGGGCCCTGGAATTAGATGTGCAGGGCAATAGGAGGAGCCATTTCTTCATGTGTCATGTGATTAACATTATTTCTAGACCCTGAAGGAAAGGGACTGAAGAGCCGCAGGGATTGTGAGAAGGTGTCTTGTATGCAGGACGTCACCATCTGACATGAGGATAAAACATCTGTCCATGCAGAGAGCGTGTTCTTCATCTATGAACTTAGTTAAGCAAATACAATTATTTTACACTTTAATTTTTCTTCCCGCTGACCTGCTGGCGTTGGCCTACACTGAAATAGCAAACACCAAGCAGCAAGCAGAACTGCTTACCCCCCACACGTGGGTCATCTGAGCAGGTCAGTCTCCTTGTGGAGTATCAAGTTTTATTTTTGCTTGGTCAGCACCAAGGTGTATACACACGGCAGCACAAGCCTTCCAGAATGGTTCACTTTTTTTCCCCTCTCAAGTTATGGAAAAATGTGAAAGGCCTGCAATTTTTGGCCAGTAGGGGGCAATAGAGCTGAATTTAATCAGTTTTTTTTTTTTTTTTTTTTTTTTTTTTTTTTTTAATTTGAAGCCATGGAAACCAAATTAAACTCATTTCAGTTCCAACTGGAGCCTGGAGTGTCGTCCTCCAGTGTGACTTCATTTAGTCTCCCCACTGCACCCCAAAGCTGCACAAACTTATCCTGTAAAAGGAGGACTCCCCCCTTGCCCTCACCCAATAGAACACATGAAGGTGTGTTGGAGGTTCAGACAGTCACTTGGCTTCACACTTCCACTCCCTCAAGCTGGCTAACCCCTGACTGGGTGCCGCTCGTTCAGCAGTAGACCACCCTCAAGAATGAAGGGTCCATAGGAGAACTTGACAGGATGAGGAAAAGGGGAGTGAGCTTAGCTTTAAATATGACTCCAGTTTCATCTAAAAGGTCAGAGCAAACGCAGCCTCACAGCCCCTACTTACAAAGATAAGATAAAATCTGTGCTTACTAATTGTTTGGAGAATAGAAAGAGCTTTAAAGAAAAACTCTTATTAACTTCCGTAGCAGCACTACCGCCCCCTCACGTGTTATGAGTGAGGAAGGCAGAATGTTTAATTGTCCTGAAGCTAACTTTCACCTGGCCTTAATCATCCTCACACTCTCCCCACAGTGAACGGGGGCAACAAGAAGGACTATTCAGGAATAATGTAATCAACTCACTGCCCATTGGCCTTTGAGAATGCATAAATAGAGCCTACCTTCCATTTCTTATTTATTTTATTATTACTGTTCGACAATGTTGCATTTCCCCCATATCTACAAAGGCCTTGAATCTTTGTCTGACTTGTTGATTTTGGTCATCTTCTTGGGGAGCAGCAAAAGTCATTCCGGGCTTGTAGCACGTTGACTTTTTATAAAGCAGCTGTCACAGCAAGCCCTGTGAAATGCTGGCTGTAGGTGACCTTCCGTATCTGTCCACTGTAAATGGCCCCTGCTAAGCAACCAGAGTAGATAGGAATCTCCATTTGAAAAGGCCTTACTTTAAGGACTGGATACAGTGGTTCAAATGTTGCTTCAGCTCTTCTTCCTTTTCGTAGGACTCCAGTACACTGTGGGCCTCATCGTGATGGTAGCAGTAGATTTTATAAACATCCTCCAGTGGTCCTTTGATCTGCAAGAATACCTCTCCTGAGCAGACACAAAGCAAAGACAAAATGATCTCATCAGCCCAAAGTGACATTTCATTGGCTAGTTCTCAGTGCTGACTATTGGAAAGTTAGGTCTATCCCACCGGATCCCCAGATTGTTTGGAAGGGATGTGAGACACTGAGCGGATAGTTCTCCTTTCCTTTTCTTCCTTGCCCTTTCTCCTCCTTCCTTCCATGCCTTCCTCCCTCTCCTTTCTTCCTTTTATAAAACAAATAAAGAGCTTGACAGGTTGGTGCACAGGATCACAGTGAGAGCAGACTAGATTAGAGAGATATGCCCGTGTTTAAATCAAGTTATCCTACTGACTGGCTTTGAGATTTAAGAAAAGGGTTTTAATTCCATGACTCTGTTGCCTTGTGTATAAATTACTAGCTACAACAGATTCAATTTCATAGAGATATCATTACAATTAAGAGAGGTAGTATGTACAAAACTCAAAGTAGAGTGCACACAAAATAGATGTTCCAAATGGGAAAAAGATATTGTTGACTTATTAAAATTATAGGAGACAAAACAAGATATAAGGTATGCGGTTTTATTGCTATTTAGTCTACTAGCAATATTTCCTAAGGTTTTTGGGAAGGTAAGCAGTAGGATTTAGAGAAAAAACAAAAACAAAAAACAAGATACAACAATAATCAAAGTAAAAGAGTGGGTGGGGAAAAGATTCAAGAGTTGAGAGTGCTTGCTGCTCTTCCTGAAGACCTGGGTTTGGTTCTCAACACCTACATCAGATGGCTGTCAACCACCTCAAACCCCAGGTCAGGGTGTCCAATGCCTTCTTCTGACCTTCCAGGAACTGGCACCAGCAAACACATAATAGAAATAAATTTTAAAGATGAATTTAAACTAATAGAACATTTCTCTCTATATAAGGAAGGTTAGGGGAGTACCATGAAACAGCTTGCACCAATTGTATCCAGACATTTAATGAATCCTCTTTGATAATGTGATAACATTAGAAATATAACTAGTGGGCCTAGTAGATACCAGATGCTAATCTGATTTAATTACTTTCCCCCAGCAACTCAAACTGAGCATAAGCTTTCACTTCCAGCCCAGCATTAGATGTTGAGGGCAATGCACAGGAAACACGTGACGAGATCTATTATCAAAAAGCATTGTAAAGTTGAGATGGGAAATAATTCGGAAGCTGAACTGACTGCGGTAGCTGGCTTTATTAACAGTGACATGGGCCTGCTATGTATATATAGTAAGCAGAAAGTCCTGCCACATGAAACAGGCTTTATATGACTGCCAAAACATGTAATATGAATGCTTCCTTCTCTACATGCATGAAAAGATAAGATGTTATTTGTCTATATGCGTTAGGAATGAATAAATCTGAATTGGAGGCAGGTAAATGATTGTCTCAAGTCCTGCTAGGAGGTGACAAAGTCAGGCTAACAGGGTAGATATGAGTTTTAGTCCTCACACTCCAGTGCTCTGCTGAACACTGGCTGAGGCGGGAAGACCACTAAGTCAGAATCAGATACCAGGGCTTATATGGTGATTTGGGGAATGATTTTGTTCTAATTTTTTTGTGACGATGTTCCCTCATATTATTTGCGATACTTCTGAAGTGTCCCACTTATTTATAACTTATATCTAGTCGATAAGGCTTTTGTTTCCTCTTCATTATATGTTTTTTTCCTCTGCTTATAGCTAGATTTTTAAGTAACATGAAGCTCTGTGTGTGTGTGTGTGTGTGTGAAGCATATGCGTGTGTGTATGGAGAGAGAAAGAGAAAGAGAGAGAGAGAGAGAGAGAGAGAGAGAGAGAGAGAGAGAGAGAGAGAGAGAGAGATTTGTGTGGCTTGGAATTAATACTATGAATTGAGCATCTTTTCAGATGAAGGGCTGAGGGGTTCTTGCTGTTGCTGTTTCTGGAATTTAGCTGGGTAGATCTTTCTCCCAGTGTAAGTCTTGAAGATCTGCCCTTGAAAACAGTAGTACATGCAAAAGGAAACTATTAACAACAGAAAATAAGACAGGAAAGCAAGTGAATTTAAGGTTGGTTTTAAAACAAAGAGAGACCTCAAGTAATACAACCAGGGAGCAAATAGGAATTTTGGGACAGACCTAAGCCCTAGAAGCAGGATCTGAGGGGGCATGGATAGAGGCTCCCTGGCATCTGAGTCTACACATCTCCATATGAAATGGAGTTACAAATATGAATGTTAACTACAAATGAGGTAATAATAGAGATATAAGGAAATGGGAAAGAGCAAGGGATAGCCTGACAAATACATACGATCAAATCAGAAAGTTAAAAATCAGACAATACTTGCTATATATGCAAGTAAACCATCACTTGCCAGTGTCCTGGAATTTCTAGGTCTCCCCTTGACAGTGAAAGCTTCTTCATCTTTTTTATAATTCCCGAGTAAAATTCTGTTGGGGCTCTAATAATAATTATTGAAGTTAAAAGATATTTAAGTACTCTAATTGAAAGTCGTTTATTCACCCAGAGGCCAGCTATAACACGGGTGGGCAGAATATTTGATTTCCCTCCCAACCCATTCTGCCTCATAATAGTGCTGATGAAGCGAGGTGTCTCCCGGCCAAAAGTGATTCTGTTTCCACGGTAACGTAAGCCTTGGCTGCATTTCTGCAGTGGTGAAGGACAACTGCTCAGTCTAATGTGTGTGTGCTGGAAGGATGATTGGGGGCGGAGAAAGGAGTGGACCGAGAGCAGGGAAGGTAATTGCACTCTAACTGCCTGACACAAAGGTGCCAGAATCCTAGAAAACAAAACCACCATCTTCTTTTTAAAAATTCTACGACCAAGATAAATTGTTTTTTTTTTGCAGTGATATTCCCCTAAAGCTGCTCTCTTGCAAAGGAGAAAACAAAAACAAAAACAGAAACAAGAATTCTGTTTGAAATTTCTTTAGTCATTGTTGTTAAAGGCAACTTGCCCAACAGGGTCGATGTCCCTGGCAGAACTGTGGCTCAGTTGCCCCTCATTGATGCCAGTGCACTGGGTTCTTCTACTTTTATGTTTCTGCTGATTAAACTCTTCTTTTCTTTTAGAACTCCATGCCCGTGGTGTAGAGTCTGTATCATTCTGAATTTCCTCTGTCAGTATGAATATTTAAGGTAAAGCTGTGCTATTCAAGAAAGCTACTTATCCTAGGCTTTGTATAAGATTGTGGTTCAAACAGAAATAAATGTGATTATTCTTTTTAGCTCATCTCTATTTAACTATAGTTTATTGGATGACTGTTTTGCACTGTGGTGGGCTTGGATAGAGACTCCCTGGCATCTGAGCCTATGCATCTCCTTACGAGATGAAGTTCCAAATATGTATGCTCATTACAAACGAGGTAATAATAGAGATTTAAGAAAAAAGGAAAGAGCATGTGGTAGCCTGATAATTACATATGATCAAACTAGAAGGTTAAAAATCAAAGACAATACTTGCTTTATAGGCAAGGAAACCATTACTTGCAAACACAAAGAACCAACAGTTCATTCAAATAACTTATATAAGCCTGCAAAGGCACAAGAGAAGAGTCAGTTCTCATTCACCGTGCCATATGAAAGTGCAATACTAGGGCTGGGATCACAGAAGTGAGCATATTCAGTCTCTAGGAAACCAGCTTCAGAAATTATCATTGACTCTGCCAAACATAGAAGTGACACATAGGCTAAACCTCCCTTCTTAAAGTCAAATATATCCTTATGTATTTGAATTATGAAGATGTATAGATACCAAGAGGCATAAAGAAACTACATAATCCGAATCTTAATTTTTTTGTAAAGCATGACTAAAACTACCAAAAAGAATTTGCATTATACTCAATTGTTATATAAAAGAAACCAAACTTTATAAATAGGTGTGTACGTTTAAAATGACTAGGGTAATATAGTAATTTAGTCACATTATGTATTAAGTATTAAGAATAAGCAGTGGGTATATTCTATACTTGATTTTATTCAATCCTCATGAAACTCATACGAGGTAAATACAACTGCTTTCAATTTCCAAATAAGAAGCTGAACTTCAATGAGGTTTCATAACTTACCTAAGACCTAGCAATAGAAAGAGATGGAATCTAATTCAACCTAATATTAAAAGGTATAATATTATGCCCTTAAATTTTGTACCATCTTTTATTTTACTCATCCTTGTTTACTATTTTCATAGTATGTTGTCATGGAATATTTTCAATTTCAATATAAACAAGGACCAAAGCTCATCTCTAGAAAGTTTAAAACAACTTTTCTATCCAGATACGGTGTGGATTTTAAAGCCCACTTTGTGGTTGGAATCCAAACAGTTCTCTCGGCACTCTCAGACCTGCAAACTTCTGTATCTATTTATAAACTTGAGCCTCACCCAGACACCAAGGTTTCTTGAGTAACTTTCTCCGCCTCCTTTATCGCGGTATCTAGTGGATCTGGCACGGCAGCTGTGAGTCACAGACTCTTATTCTTGCTGTCTGAGGACACAGGGTTGAAACACCTGTGCTTTTCATTTTGCGGTAGCATGATTTGGAAACATCTCAGCCAATCAGTTTAAATTACAAAATCTAAGCAATAAAAGAACTAGTGATAGGAATTGCCGTTGAACTCTGCACTGACATATGTATCCTAACGGAGGATCACAGAGGCCGCCTGCACAGCGTCTATGGCACAGTGGAATGCTGATGGACTTCCCAAGACCTTCCTATACTCTTCTGACACAGGGCCTTTACTCTGTTCTCATCAAGACTGCCGTTTGCAGCTGGACTATGGTGGCCTTTAATCCCAATACTTGGGAGGCAGAGGCAGGTGGATCTGAGAGTTCGAGGCCAGCCTGGTCTACAAGAGCTAGTTCCAGGACCAACACCAAAGCTACAGAGAAACCCTGTCTCAAAAAAATTGAAAGAAAGAAAGAAAAAAAGAAAGAAAGAAAGGAAGAAAGAAGGAAAAAAAAGATGGCCTTTTTAATGTAATTGCTACCCTTCTGAATTAGTCAAGTTCAAGTCCAAA